TGAACCAGATTTGGGTGACACCTGGGGATTCTTCTACAAGTTTGAGATTCAGCATGGGACAGAAGTAAGCATTCACTCATATTACATTAATGTGTTCGACAGGACCTGTTTTATTCTCTGATCTTTTGTGTATGTGTGATTCAGTGATTGAAAATTAAATTTTTTAAAGAAATAGTTCATGCAAAAATAAAAATTTTATCGTCATTTACTCACCCGTTCCACACCTGTACCTGTAACTTTCTTTCTTTTGCGGAACATAACGGAAGACATTTTGAAGGGTGTGCTGCTTGTTGTTCCCTTTTGAGGGAACTCGCACTGCGTCGGTAAGGGCACTTTGGAGAATGCCCCTCAGCGTAATTCATCTAAAGTACGTATGGAACTAATCCAATCCTGATTGGTGTTGCGTCATGACATGCATACGGAAAACTACAAAGGGATGCCGCCACATAACAGAGTTGGCTTTCGCTCTAAGCTTTCGAAGTATCCATTTGGTGGTGTTTGTCAAAAAGCATTTGTTTCAAAAGAAAATAATGGTGAGTGAATAGTTCGAGCGGTGTGTCCATCCCTGCTCGAGATTCATTACGGGTGGACACACACACACGCTTTTGGTGCACTGTTTGGGAGCACAGCACGCCCAGGCAGCCCTCGAGGGGGCTGCTTGTGGCCACTGTGAAGCGCTCCCGCTTAGCTGTGTTTAATGGTATCTCAGATCGTGGGGCTCGCAGATGGAGCTGGCAGAAGGGCTTGAGACTGCTTCGGCACTTTCTCAGTCCTCATCTGCCAGCTCCGAAGCCCCACTACTTCTCGGGTTGAGAGCCCGATGCTGCAGCTATCTGATTCTGATGTGGATGTGCTCAGCATCGCGATGAGGGATATTGATGAGAGATCGCTGCTTCATGCCCCTGTGTACGAGGAGATTGTGACTAGGACACAAGGACACATACTTACACATTTCCATCCTTGTGTCTCACAGTAAGTTCCTAAGGTTCGCTTTTTGGGGGCGAAGCGTTCCAATATCGGGTTCTTCTGTTTGGCCTAGCTCTCTCCCCTTGCACCTTTACCAAGTGCATGGATGCAACCCTGGCCCTGCTGAGGCTTCAGGGCATCCGTGTGCTGAATTATATTGACGACCGGCTCAGTCTAGCACAGTTTTAAGAATTGGCAGTTCGGCATCGAGATGTCGTCCTTGGCCATATTCAGAGCTTGGGGTTGAGACTCAACACAAAGAAAAGCGTGTTGACACCCACTCAGAGAACCATGTTACTGGGGGTGGTATAAGACTCGACTACGATATGGTAACAAATGTTTTCCGCACGTATCGAGTCCATTCTGACTATGGTTTCCAGGTTAAAGCTAGGCCGTGCCATCACTCTGAAGCAGTTTCAAAGGCTGCTGGGCCTCATGGCGGCTGTGTCCAGTGTCATACCTTTTGGTCTCTATCCAGATTTGCGCTTCAGATCCTCCTATAGGCCCAGGGGAAACTGTTGCCTCTCAGAGCAATGAACGTCCCAGGGGACCAGTATCGTGGGGCAGGCGTCCTGTCGAGGCAGGGGCTGAGGCCCGGTAAATGGAGACTTCACCCTGAGGTTGATGTGCAAGAGGTTCGGCCCAATGGAGGTGGATCTGTTTGCGTCTCGAGAGACGACACACTGTCCACTGTGGTTTTCTCTCACACACCCAGCACCGCTGGGGTTGGATGCCATGGTGCAGGCGTGCCCGAGGCGATGCCTGTACGCATTTCCTCCGATCGCTCTGCTCACAGGAGTCCTGAAGAAGGTCCGGCAAAATGTGGTCAGCCTACTTTTAGTTGCCCCGTTTTGGCCGGCTCGAGTATGGTTTGCGGATATAATATCACTCCTAGCTGGCCATCCATGGGAGGGACCTGTTCTCTCAAGCGGAGGGCTCAATATTTCACCCTTGGCCAGAGGAAACTGTGGATCTGGCAGTATCTAGAGGCCGGCCTATCAGCAGGAGTAGTCGAGACCATATTCGGCTCCAGAGTTCCATCCATGAGTAAACTGTACTTCCTGAAATGGAATGTGTTCACCAGTTGGTGTAGGGAGCGTGGCGTGGACCCAGTTAACTGCCGGTGGCTTCAGTGCTGGAGTTCCTCCAGGATCGCTTCCCTGCTGGTCTTGCCCCATACACACAAAAGGTGTACGTGGCTACCACACCTGTACATGTAACTTACTTTCTTCTGTGGAACATAACGGAAGAAATTTTGAGGGGTGTGCTGCTTGCTGCTCGCACTGCGTCGGTAAGGGCACTTTGGAGAACGCCCCTCAGCGCAATGCGTCTGATGTACGTATGGAACTAATCCAATCCTGATTGGTGTTGCGTCATGACAAAGCGTGCGACTGCATGCGGAAGCTACAAAGGGATGGCGCTACACAACAAAGTTAGGTTTTGCTTTTCAGCAAGCGCTCTTTGTGTGAAGTGTCTATTTGGTGTTGTTTGTCAAAAAACATTTGTTTCAAAAGAAAAATAATGGTGAGTGAATAGTTCAAGCGGTTTGCGTCCTTGCTCGAGATACATTACGGGTGGGGAGACACACAAGCTTTGTGTGCACCGTTTGGGAGCACAGCACACCCAGGCACCCCTCGAGGGGGCTGCTTGCAGCCACTGTGAAGCGCTCCCGTTTAGCTGTGTTTAATGGCGTCTCAGATTGTGGGGCTCGCAGATAGAGCTGGCAGAAGAGCTTGAGACTGCTAGTCTCACAAAAGGTGTACGTGGCTACCATTGCGGCTTTCCACACTCCATTAAGTGATTGGTCTTTGGGAAGGCACCAACTGGTCGTACGGTTCCTCCGTGGTGCATGGGAGGACAAGGCCCGCGACTCGTGTCAGGACCCTGACCTGGGAAGGGCTGTCAATGGCCTCTTTCGAACCTTTGGAGTCAGCTTCTGCTAAGCACCTAATGCTCAAGATAGCTTTTCTCCTGGCTGGAGTTTGCCACTGGTGGAGTTAAAGCTATCTTGCATCCCAGACCTGGCTATGTGCCTATGGTCCCTTCTAGCATGGCACGGTCCGCGGTTCTGCAGGCTTTTTATCCCCCACCTCATGTGGCGGTGGAAGAAGAGAGACTTCATCTGCTCTGCCCTATCAGTGCATTGAGTATCTACATTCGGAAGTAATCTCAATGAAGGAAGTCAGATCAGTTGTTGGTGTGTTTCGGGTCACCCAGGAAAGAGTTCCCCGCCTCTAAGCAGACCATTAGTAACTTGATAGTTCAGGGAATTGCTTTGGCCTATCAGTTGCGTGGTTTACGTTGACCTTTGGCCTTGAGGGCTCATTCTACGAGAAGCATGGCATCTTCTAGAGCCCTCCTCTCAGGGGCCCCCATTCAGGAGGTCTGATGTGTGGCTGTCTGGGCTACCCCGCATACCTTCACTAGGTTCAACAGTCTGCACCTTCCTTCGCGTCTTGTGTGAGATCTTATCTCCTTACTCTGGTGTTGTTCTCTCCCTCAGGAGCAACAGCAGGAGGTAAAGAAACGCTGTGAGAATGCAGAACCACGGCACGGCGAGCTGTGGTGTGCCGAATCCAAGCACATTCTCAACTGGCAGAAGAACATCGGAGAGATCCTGGTCCTCGTGGCTGCAAAGATCAAAAACACCTTCTAAACTGTGGGACTAATATCAGATTCACAAATCTGAGCATGTTTGGTTTAGCAAATAATGTTGTTTTTATTGAGTCTGTGGAATTTTTTTTTTTTATGGCTATTTTTCCACTTTTAGTGTGTTTGTCTCTGGAACAGTGATGATTCAGGGCTGTTTTCATTACACATGCTGTTATGTTCAGGGTGTTGTCTAGTCACACTCAGAGATTGATAGAGTCCATTTTGAACATTAATTGCCAGAACGATGTCATACCCTCTTATTCTGCTTCTCATTATGCGTATGTGTAAATGTGCTGCTTGATTATCAGAAAATAAATGAAGTCTGATCTGTTTCAGATATCAGTTCTGTTGATTTAGGATACTTATGTAGGCTAAAGGTTTGTTTTGAAATATCTAAACTCTTTCTAATTGTAACTTGTAGAGTTTTTCAAGCTACAGCTACCAAACTCAGCACAGTCCTTCAGTATATTTGTTGTATATTTTATACAAAAATATATATATTACTCAATTTTGACTTTAAAATTGCTATATAATCAAAAAAATATTTAACAATGTTGTGTTCCGAATTTGAAGTTGATATCACAAAATTTGAGGTTGCAACAATTATGTTTAGGCTCTATACCAGACATAGCCACTGCGTGACACTGTTGATGCATTCTCCTGTCACAATATAACTTCTAATATATTTCACCAAGTCTTAGACCTTTTCAATGATCAGTTTTGTCAAGATTAGAAAAAGATTTGATAAGGGGAGGTAGGGAGGAGGCAAAAAAAAGTGTGCTAAGATTCCCACTAGCAGGGGAGTTACCAGGTCAAGGAAACCTTTTTGAATTTTTTTAGAAGTGACTGTTATGATGCTATAGCAATTTTTCGATACTGAATAATGATCAGTTTTGTTTCTTGCATTTATTTTGCATAGTCTACTGAATTGTGATTGGTCTATTCTTCCATCTGTATTCACACTGACTTAGGTGTTGAGTATAGGCCTACTGTACATTGAAAACAACACGTTAAGCATCATGGCTACAGCAATGCAGCTCTGATGTGAAATTGATTAATTTATTGTTGAGCTGAGCTGATGATATAATATGAGTAAGGTTCAGAAACACTGTAGAGCTGGACCTGAATTGTCGACCCCTTCTTTACAACATTCCTCTGAAGAGGACCCTGCCCTGCCATTACCACTATTATTTCTCTGCCTTTACTGGAATTTCCTTCAGGAAAATCAAATCAATTAAAAAAACATATGCGGGATGTGATGATTTTAACAGCCTGACACAAACCACACGACCTATAGTTACTCTCGGCACATTGAAACCTGATACAAATGTTTGGACTATAAAAAGATGAAGGTTTTCGTCTGTCCATACATGAATCAGTGTAGAAATAAAGAGCCATTTCCTGATCACAGCCAGGTCCAGTGAAGAATCAAACCCTTCAGTGCACCAGGTTTATAAAGTAATCTCCCGCCGAAACCGAAACAAAGCGCAAAGTTGATTGATCGCGGAAGTTTTCTCGACTTGATCAGACTAGAGACCTGGTGAAATCAGAAGCGCGATGGCAGCAGCAGCCCGTGACGGCGGAGACACATGAGAGCCTCGAGACTTCTCTTTCACCATTTCTGGAATGGACGCGGTTAAGCCTCATCAACGCGGCTCTCGCCAGACCACCGACTCGAACTAGACCAAAAACGCGTTTTTAAGGTTGATTTTCTTTTCGGTCGGACCGTTGTTGAAGTGTTCTGTGAGAAACATGTAACATGCGTTGGACGCCGCTGGACCATGTCCACATTTCCAAGCCCTGACTGGTGCGCTCAAGAGTCCCTCTTCATCCCATGGTCAATGGTAAGATCCCTCATCATCACTGCGCACTATTCTATCTTCTGTTTCTTGAAAACTCAGTAACTTGCAATACTATTAGGCTACTAATACTCAGATAAGTATCGTTATCAGATTCTAAATGAACCCATTTAATCCCAGAATTAATAAGTGAACAAGTGCTAACTCAGTAACACATGCTTTTCTAAAAACAAAGGTAAAATAAAGTGTATAAAAGTGCACTAATAAATGCTGGGTTGTTTCAAGCCATGTTTGGGTCAAATATGGACAAACCCAACCTGGTTTAAAAATTAAGAAATAAACCAATAATTGATTTGTCCATATTTGACCCAAACATGGGTCGAAACAACCCAGCATTTTGTGTGTACATCGAGTGTATATTTTACTTTTCTATTATATAGGTGGAAAACGTAAAAAAAAAAAAAAAAAAATCTTGACCAAACAGAAAGTTGAAAACAACTGATAAAGTAGTCTATTAGGCAGTACTGAGGGGGAAAGGAATGATAATATTTGCATAGTTTTTACTTTTAGGCCAACTTTGCGATGCTTTGAAATGGCTCATTTTAATGCGAATCAGTTTGTTTATTCAAAATGTGACTCCCCACTGGTCACAAATAAGACATGTTTATGCTTTGATCAGAGAAATCCTAAAATTACAACAATAATATAGTCTCTAAATATGATTTGCAGTTGCAGGCCTATTGCCTATGCATTCTGACATGTTTTATGGAGCTTTGACAGACATTAGCTTCTGGTCATTTGACTTTATAGCAGCCATGTAGACATCAAGAGATCAAGAGTCTACACTGTGATTTGTTGTATAAAACACTTAAAGGGATAGTTCACTCAAAATTGAAAATTATGTCATCATTTACTAACCCTCGGGTTATTCCAAACATGTATGATTTTTTGAACACAAAAGAAGATATTTTGAAGAAAGTTTGAAACCAGGTCGCTTCGGGTCACCATTGACTTCCATAGTAGTAAAAAAATAAAAATACTAGGAAGTCAATGTTGCACCAGAACTGTTCAGTTCCCCATATTCTTCAAAATATTATATTTATTCAACAGAACTAAGAAATTCATACAGGTTTGGAACAACCTGAGGGTGAGTAAATGATGACAGAATAAAAATGTTTGGGTGAACTATCCCTTTAAGACTTGAAATTAGCAGTTATCAGTGAGATTAAATGAATTGGGTAAATAATGGATGAACTGTATTTTGAATATGTTTTCAAATCTAAGTAAATTATAGGCTACTGGTGCATCAGGTTGCAACATTCTGCACAAAGTAAAGTGTTACATCATCAATGAGAAATGCTGAGATGCACCGGGCTACTGATAATGTGATTGTTGTGCTCAGTGTGTGAACAGGCCTGCTGTCTGTGTGGCTGTAATGCTGCTGCTCGCGGTGGCCCACGGTAAACGTGCATGTGATTATTCTGTGATCATCAGCACCTACAGGGCCGTCATCCTGGTCGAGCTCCAAAACCTGGTGAGTGTCATGTCAGATAACCAGAATCCACGTCAAACACACTGTTTATGTAGCATATCTGACTCGCTGTTCTCGTTTGATCTTTTAACAAATTACATAAGCGCTCTCTCGTACTACTGGAAGATTGGTTATGGATATGTGTTCGCTTGTTGCCCTCTTCTGGTTATCTGTAGAAGGTGAACTGATTGAATGTGTTTGCTCTTTTCACTCTTGGCCCAGAATCTGACTGGTTCATTTGACATATCTAAAGAAAAGGACCACTGTTCTTCTGAGAAGGTACAGCCACCTGTACATAATGCATGTATGTTTCTTTAATACTGTACTTTGTCTTTGATGTTTTTTTTAAAAACTGAGCGCTTTTCTTTTCGGTGGCGCCTTAATAATCGCTCGTCTGTTTTGACGGTAGGTTCACCGTATCCTGCGAGACATCTATAATATGACCCAAATCTTCAGATGCTTGAGTGAAAGCAAGAGGCAGCAGCGGGACAGAGTGGACAGAGGCGGGGACATGGCGAAGGTGGTGGGACAGATGGCACAGCTCATCCGAAAAAACTGCTGCAGGCCCCAAAGCTTGGTATAGTGCTTGTTTGTTTGTTTGTTTGTTGGCTGATTGAATGATCAAAATTAAGTGAATCTTAATAGTTACAATGTGAAATAAACAGGATTACATCATCTAGAAATGTATTTATTTGTTTGTTTGTTTATTTATCAAACTAAAGTTCATTTAAATAACTGTAATGTGAAATAAGCCGAAGATTACATGATCAAGAAATTAATTTATTTATTTATTTATCAAACTAAAAGTTCATCTGAATAACTATAATGTGAAATAAACGGATTACATAATCTAGAAATGTATTTATTTATTTATCAAAATAAAGTTAATCTGAACGATTAAATATAATCTAAAACAAACAAACAAAAGGTAACAATCTAGAAATTAAATAATTTGTTTGTTTGTTTGTTGATTGAATAATTAAAAACAATAATCTGACCAATTGTAATTCGAAATAAATATATTTATTTGTTTGTTTGTTTGTTTGTTTATCAATAAAGTGAATATGAGTAATTATAATCTGAAATAAACAGAGGATTACATCATCTAGAAATGTATTTATTTATTTATCAAAATAAAGTTAACCTGAATAATTATAATCTAAAACAAACAGAAGGTAACTATTAGGAAATTAATGAATAATTTGTTTATTTGTTGATTGAATCATTAAAACCATTCATCTGAATATTTATATTTTGAAATAAATGTATTTATTTATCAAAAAGTTAATTGAATTATTGTTTTTTACTGAATAATCGTAATCTGAAATTAACAGAGGATAACATAATCTATAAATGTTTTTATTTAGAAATGTATTTATTTACTTGATTGATTGTGGCTTGAATAATCAAAATCTGAATAATTATAATCTAAAACAAACAGAAGGTAACTATTAGGAAATTAATTAATAATTTTTTTATTTGTTGATTGAATCATTAGAACCATTCATCTGAATATTTATATTGTAAAATACATTTATTTATATATTTATCAAAAAGTTAATTGCATAATATTTGTTTACTGAATAATCGTAATCTGAAATAAACAGAGGATAACATCATCTATAATTTTTTTTATTTAGAAATGTATTTATTTATTTACTTGATTGATTGAATGTGGCTTGAATAAACAAAATAAAGTTAATCTGAATAGTAATGATCTGAAATAAAAAGATGATGATTTAGATAAATGTATTACTTTGCAGGCAAATAGATGCAAGAAAGTGTCTTGCGAGCCGGGGAAGAAGCGTAAAGGAAAACAGCAGTGGAGAATGAAAATGATGGGAAGACTCATAAACTGCTGGCAGCGGCTGCTGAGTGTGGCGGCGTATTAAATCACAGTTCAGCTCCACACAACATTATTTAAAACAGTATGCACATTCATTTTCCCTTTATCATTATTTATTCACTTTCACTTAAAGAAAAAAGAACACCAAGTGTTTTGTATAATACTCCTTCAGTGAAATGATAAACTGAGATTGTGTCAAGCTCATAAGAAATCGTATGATTATCTTTCTTCTGGTTGTTTTATATGTTTTATTTGATAGCTCTATATATGGTTTATGCATAGCAAGTTCAAAAGATATTCATGTTAAACAGTTACACTCACATCTGGTGCTGCAAATTGAGCCAAAATTACAGCTGTAATCATTTAACGCTGACTACGTTATTCATGTTCTCATGGGTCTACGACAACTAACACTATACACAGTAACTTATCTCATGTTATTTCAATGGATTCATCTGTTAAAACGTGTTGGGTAGAAGAAGGTGTTTATTTGTCTGAATTACAGTGTTTGAAGTTTTATTGGATAGTGTAATGTTTTGGAAACTGTCAGGCATTTCATCATATCAATACTTCCAATATTCAGAAACTCATTATGGACATCACTATATCCATAATTTTGCTGCTTTGGTGCTGCTGATTTATGTGTTGTTTTGTTGATTCTTTCCATTAGTCCACTTTTACTGTATGTAGGTTTAAAAATAAATACATGAATAAAAGCTTTTTTAAAAGATTTTTCATTTTTTTAAAAAAAATTTATTCACAATCGTGTATTTTTTATTTTTTTTATTTTTTGAAAGAACCAATGACTTTTACATTTTCTCTTTAGCAATTTCAGGGCTTTTATTTTAAAATCGACAGCGCGTGCTACCTGCACGTCAGCATTCACTCATGCGCATGCGCACGATGTGCACTTCCTATTGTCACTGTTTGTAGTATTTGTGCATATCCATGTCGCTTGAAACTATAGTATTGTTTATGTCTGCTCACATCTCGTTACTTGATGCTTACTTTCCTTTTCTCCGCCGTTTTTTGCGCCACATACCTGTCTCCCATCATCAGTCATGTTAAAGGCAGAGATTTTACTGAGCAGGAAATGTCTCATTACAGGTGAGATTCATTTATGATACGCTAAATTCGTCATTCATTATTGATGTGGAATAAGAGGGTCAGATGATCGGGGTGCCATATAGAGTTAATAAGTAGTTACAACTGCTGTAACAAGTATACATCTATGTCCTTTACGTATTTGCTGTCAGTCAATCGGCTTTGCCATATGGTCATGTGTAAATATAGCAGTCAGCAAACTAGTCACCTGTCATAATGTCTGATTCTGCTTTGAGGAATATTGACAATCATTCCTGTTTAAAGCGGTTTGATATTTGTTGTCTGTTTTATTTCTCTTAACAGGGACAGAATAAAGTCGATGTTTTATCATGCTTACAACAGCTACTTAGAAAACGCATATCCTTATGATGAGCTGAGACCTCTGACGTGTGATGGACAGGACACATGGGGAAGGTATATGAGCTTACAGCAGAAACTTTTCTGTTCTTCAATAACAAGGAAAACAAAAGGACAGCAGCACACTGCCACAACGCTCTCCAACTGTATGAGAGGCAAACTACATTTCGCTCTTCGGCACTCAGTCACAAATATTAAAATGTATACATGCATCTGAAAAGGTGTGGCCAGAAAACAAGACCGCAATTAACCAATGAAAACACGTGATGTTCTCCCCCCAAAAATTAAATAAATAGATTTAGGGATGCACAATATATCGGCCACCATATCGGTGTCAGACGATATATGTTCATTTTTAATGTTATCGTTATCGGCCCAATAAGAAAAATTGGCCGATATATTAAAGCCGATATATAATGGATTATTTCCTTCAGCTGAGACACTTCAGATGCGCACTGTTCGCCATGATGGTTTTGAATTTCTTGAAATATGATTGGAATCTCTTAAAAAAGAAAAATATGGTTCAGTGCAACATGTCCAGCGCAAGTCTGTCAAATTGGCTAGATAAAATTGTAATGAGAACATTATAATTGTGTGCTTGGGACAATGCTTTTAATGGTGAGACTTTTATTTTTGTAATCAGGTTAAAATTATAAAAAAAATTGGATTTATATTTATCGGCCAATATATCGGTTGTCGGCTTTAAAATATAAAGAATTATCGGCAATCGGTATCGGCCAAAATTTTCATATCGGTGCATCCCTAAAATAAATAAGCTAACGGATATGCCAAATTTAGCTTCTATAGAAATCACCAAAAGGTGTTTTTTTTCAGTCAAAATGGATTCCTTTTGGAAACAGTTTATTTATAATAAACACCCACATCATATTTATATATATATATATATTAGTTTATTCGATAACAAGAAAGCAGGCGTCGCCACAAAGGAGGCTTTCAGCTTGTCAAATTCCACCTTAGACCAGTAATTATCTCCTATATTATCATCAAGTGACAGACCCAATGGAAGCTGTGACAATACGTTAAATTAACTAAATCCAAGAATAATGAGAAGGTTTTTAGTCATTTTAAATCTAGGCATGATCAAGTTTTTAACTTGGGGACATTTAGGTCATAAAGGATTTGCACATGGTTATTTCTTGAAAGGTGAAGAACTATCAACATGCCGCCTTTGTCCAATGTTAAACATATTTTATTGGACTGCACAGTTTTTCCTCCAAAAAGACAATTTACTCAGAGATCAGTTTAAATGATGTACTTCAAAATTAGAATATTTGTCTTGTATTAATCTTAAATGTGTTATGTAGTTTTTGTTAATTGTAAGAATTGTGTCATTCACTGTGTTCTCTGCATGAAGATAGCCTTGCTGCTGACATGACGTTAAAAAAATAAAAAGATAATGTTTCACAAGATTAAAATGGACAGCAATGGGGTTTTTTCCATTGAACTTTGTCAGAGTAAAAATCTCACTTACATTCAATGATGCTTTTGCACAAAATACTTATTGAAAAGTAATATATTACAGACCTTTGTCTGTAATATATTATCTTTCATAGTGGAACACATAATTCAGAAGATTCAGAAATCTCATTCTATCATGATAACCTCTCTATTTGTCCCTTTTTCCTTCAAGTTTTTCCCTCACACTCATTGATGCTCTGGACACATTGCTGGTATGAAATTACATTCAGCAAGATTCTTCGGTGTCATAAAGTGGTTTTCTGTAGTTCAGATGCAGAGAATGTTTCTCCTTCTCGATCACAGGTATTGGGAAACCACACAGAGTTCCAGCGCGTGGCCACTCTGCTTCAGGACACGGTGGATTTTGACACGGATGTAAATGCATCTGTGTTTGAGACGAACATACGAGGTAAGGCATGTATTCATGAAAAATATATACACATATATATATATATATATATATATATATATATATATATATATATTAGTGCTGTCAAACAATTAAAATATTTAATCGCGATTAATCGCATTAATGTCATAGTTAACTCGCAATTAATCGCACATTTTTATCTATTCTAAATGTCTCTTGATTTCTTTTTGTCCCATTTTTTTTTTCTCATTTTAATGCTCTTATCAACATGGAAAAGTGGATCGGCTTGCTTTGTGCAAATGTTTTTTATTGAAAACAACATTGGCATATACTGTGTTCAATTTCACACTAACATTCTCACTTGGAGCAAATAATCTCTCACACAATGTAACACTGTCCATCAATAAAAGGGTGAAAGAAATACTGACGAGGTCCTGATATTGACGAGGGGGCGGAGAATTCGCATCAGCTGTGTGTGTGTGTGTGTGTGTGTGTGTGCTTGGCCATCAAGTGATATTTCAGACTGGACGTGCTGCGATCGCGATGATGATAGCTCAGTTCACAACGACAAAACACACAGATCACTTTAGTCTTGTAAACTTTCCATTCAGAATCTTATTGGCATCCATTTCGGCGTCTTGTGCTCGTCATCCACTCAAAACGTAACGTTAACCAACTATTTGGCCGGCTCGCAAGCCCAAAGAAGTGTGTGTGGCGTCGTGCCTGTTGTTTTGTTTCCGGTCTAGCTAGATCCGCTTGCGCTTTGGTCGACGAAGCAACAAAACGTCCTCGCACGGCGCAAGCCATTGAAATGAATGGGCTTCATAGCGCAGCGCTGAAACATGCCGCGTCCTCTTGCAAAAGCATGTGAAAAAAACTACAAAGTTTGCTAAGCCAAAAAGACCGTTAAAAAAATTAACGCCGTTAAAATGGGTTTGCGTTAACGCCGTTAATAACGCGTTTAACTGACAGCTCTAATATATATGTGTGTGAGTGTGTGTGTATATAGGCATATATATACAGGTCCTTCTCAAAAAATTAGCATATTGTGATAAAGTGCATTATTTTCCATAATGTAATGATAAAAATTAAACTTTCATATATTTTAGATTCATTGCACACCAACTGAAATATTTCAGGTCTTTTATTGTTTTAATACTGATGATTTTGGCATACAGCTCATGAAAACCCAAAATTCCTATCTAAAAAAATTAGCATATCATGAAAAGGGTCTCTAAACGAGCTATTAACCTAATCATCTGAATCAACTAATTAACTCTAAACACCTGCAAAAGATTCCTGAGGCTTTTAAAAACTCCCAGCCTGTTTCATTACTCAAAACCGCAATCATGGGTAAGACTGCCGACCTGACTGCTGTCCAGAAGGCCATCATTGACACCCTCAAGCAAGAGGGTAAGACAGAAAGAAATTTCTGAACAAATAGGCTGTTCCCAGAGTGCTGTATCAAGGCACCTCAGTGGGAAGTCTGTGGGAAGGAAAAAGTGTGGCAAAAAACGCTGCACAACGAGAAGAGGTGAACGGACCCTGAGGAAGATTGTGGAGAAGGACCGATTCCAGACCTCGGGGGACCTGCGGAAGCAGTGGACTGAGTCTGGAGTAGAAACATCCAGAGCCACCGTGCACAGGCGTGTGCAGGAAATGGGCTACAGGTGCCGCATTCCCCAGGTCAAGCCACTTTTGAACCAGAAACAGCGGCAGAAGCGCCTGACCTGGGCTACAGAGAAGCAGCACTGGACTGTTGCTCAGTTTTGCATGTCATTCGGAAATCAAGGTGCCAGAGTCTGAAGGAAGACTGGGGAGAAGGAAATGCCAAAATGCCTGAAGTCCAGTGTCAAGTACCCACAGTCAGTGATGGTCTGGGGTGCCATGTCAGCTGCTGGTGTTGGTGCACTGTGTTTTATCAAGGGCAGGGTCAATGCAGCTAGCTATCAGGATATGTTGGAGCACTTCATAATTACATCTGCTGAAAAGCTTTATGGAGATAAAGATTCCATTTTTCAGCACGACCTGGAACCTGCTCACAGTGCCAAAACCACTGGTAAATGGTTTACTGACCATGGTATTACTGTGCTCAATTGGCCTGCCAACTCTCCTGACCTGAACCCTGTAGAGAATCTGTGGGATATTGTGAAGAGAAAGTTGAGAGACGCAAGACCCAACACTCTGGATGAGCTTAAGGCCGCTATCGAAGCATCCTGGGCCTCCATAACACCTCAGCAGTGCCACAGGCTGATTGCCTCCATGCCACGCCGCATTGAAGCAGTCATTTCTGCAAAAGGATTCCCGACCAAGTATTGACTATTGAGTGCATAACTGAACATAATTATTTGAAGGTTGACTTTTTTTTTTTTGTATTAAAAACACTTCTTATATTGGTCGGATTAAATGCTAATTTTTTTTAGACAGGAATTTCGGGTTTTCATGAGCTGTATGCCAAAATCATCAGTACTAAAACAATAAAAGGCCTGAAATATTTCAGTTGGTGTGCAATGAATCTAAAATATATGAAAGTTTAATTTTTATCATTACATTATGGAAAATAATGAACTTTATCACAATATGCTAATTTTTTGAGAAGGACCTGTATATATACATATATATTTGTGAGTGTGTGTGTGCTCTTGTTTTTATTACATTGTGAGGACCAAATGTCCCCACAAGAATAGTAAAACGTGAAATCACCTACATTGTGAGGACTAGCCAATGGTCCCCGTAAGGGAAATTGATTAATGAACATACTTGATGTTTTTTAGAAAATGTAAAAGAGCTGAAAGTTTTCTGTGATGGGTAGTTTTAGGGGTAGGGTTAGTGTAAGGGGACAGAATATACAGTTTGTGCAGTATAAAAACCATTACATCTATGGAGAGTCCCCACAAAGATAGTGGACCAGACATCTCTGTGTGTGTGTGTGTGTGTGTGTGTGTGTGTGTGTGTGTGTGTGTGTGTGAGAATTATAAAATTGCATAAATACTTTTATTAAATAATTATTTTACATTACTGCTAAATATGGAATGTGCTTTATTGTCATGAAAACTACTTTCTTCATGCAAAACAGATCTGATATGTTACAGATCTGTTGGGGGGGGGACATATGACCCGAACATGTTTTTGGCAAACTCATTTCCTGTAATGCAGGGCTGTGATCATTGGCATTCAGTGAGTTTGACCAGTGCATGTGTTCATAATCTGGTGACGTGATGAACTGTGTTTCTCTGCAGTGGTTGGTGGGCTTCTCTCGGCTCATCTGCTCTCCAAGCGTGCTGGGATGGAGGTGGAGGAGGGCTGGCCCTGCTCTGGACCCCTCCTGCGCATGGCAGAGGACGCCGCACGCAGACTGCTGCCTGGTGAGGGAGCTCGTGGACACTTCAAAACTACATTCAAATTACATCCCTATCTGAAACACATTTAGCATGAATCGTGTGTTGCATTTGTCATTGAACCACAGAAAATGAGCCATACATTTAGTTAAAGATGGCATGAAAAGGAAGTTGCAATAGGGTTTTCTTCACTATTGTGATGTATATCTGAGTGAAACAGCTTCTCGAACAAGAAGAAATGTAGGACGGGACTTGATTTTGTCCATGGGGAATTGATTGGATGGTTGTGGTTTGCTATTGGTGGATCTCCTGTGAGTGACAGGTTGCCCCGCCCTCACGCCAGTAAACACATCATCAGAGAAGAGATGTCGCTTCAAGAGTTATTTTGATTAAAGATTACAAGGACACATATATTTAAAGTAAAAATAATGATGTGCACGGATAGATTATTTATAATAATTACTGCAATATTCCATAAAAAAAAAAGAATTGTCAAATTTGATTTAATGATTTTAAAAAAATGTAAATAACAAATAAAATAAGTTCTAAATTATAAGTACTAAATTACTAAAACGGAAAAAACCCCAGAAATATTATAAAAACAAATAAAAATGGCAAAAAAAACAGCAAACTGACTCAAATTAAAAATGTCTCAAAAAATTAAAAAGGTCACTCAAAATATTATTAAATACTATAACAGTATATAATTAATATAAAAATAACACAGATTAATGAGTGCATATAGTGTTTTTTATGTAATGATTGTCTTAACTCTCCATTTATCATTTTGTTCATTTCAGTTTTTTAGTATATTTTATTTCCTGCCATTAAATCAAAAAGTAATACATCATGCATTCATCACTAGTTTACCGTGCTAATAGTTTTCACAGAAAACGAGACTGAATTTGCATACTCCTATTAATTTAGAAAAACATGTAGTTTTAAGCATTTAGCTAAGCTAGTATCCCAGTATTGGGACATAAAATTGCATCTTTCATAATTGTGTAAGGATGTGTGAGCAATATTTGCCCAAAAGGCATGCATGGATATGTCCAAAACTCCTTGAAATTCTATTCAGTCACCATCAATGTAATGCACTAATCCTAATCTGGCTTTTTAAAAATATATTTGATCATGATAATTGAATAATGCTGTCAGTTTTTAATCATTCTGTCCCGTGTCAGCTTTCCAGACGCCCACAGGGATGCCGTATGGCACGGTGAACCTCCTGCGGGGGGTGGACCCCACTGAGACCCCCGTCACCTGCACTGCTGGAGTGGGCACCTTCATCCTGGAGTTCTCCACCCTCAGCCGCCTGACCGGAGACCCTGTGTTTGAGAACGTGGCTCGCAAAGCTCTCAGGGCCTTATGGAGAAAGCGCTCAGAAATTGGCCTGGTAAAATCTTTTGATCTGGGCTCAAGCTGTTTGTAGTTCAGCCATGATGTTCTGAAGTGATAGTTCACCCAGACATGAAAATGATCTAGTCTTAGGGCTTTCACACCAGCTGGTTACAGGAACTTGGTTATCGGAACTAGCCACCTGTGCTAAGACAATAACACAACGCAGCAGACGAAGGCTTTCTGTTAACATTAGCTTACTGTGTGTTTGTCGTATCGCTGTTTCATGTCCGTGGAGTAAGCATATGTAAACCGTGTGTTTACATGGCTTTTTAAAGTCCCCATGAAATCAAAATTACGTTTTCGGTTAGCCTTACTGTTATCTATAAGCTGTGTGCTCCAAAACAATGACAAAATTCACATTTAGAAGTGTTTGTTAAAATATGGTCTGGAAAATTGATAGAGAAGTCTGGAAAAATATGGATTTTTGTAATAGAAATACGTGTTGTGACTCCAGCATTCACTGTTCTTGTTAACATTATCACGTAACCATCTCATCTTTTCAGGTGGGCAATCATATAGATGTCATAACTTCTAAGTGGGTTGCTCAGGACGCAGGGATCGGGGCGGGGGTGGACTCGTACTTCGAGTATCTCGTAAAGGGGGCCATCCTGCTGCAAGATGAGGAGATGCTGGCAATGTTTCAAGGTAAACATTAAATAATTAACCCTCTGGGGTCCTTCATTTAACAGTCACAGTCGGGGCCTTCGAAGGGCGGGATTAATATTTATGAAAAAAATCATAATGTTTTTTTTTTTATTTGTTTTTTATAATATTTTTTCTTTTCTTTTTTGGTGTTTTGAGATAATTTTATGATTTATAATTAATATTTATGCAATGATTATGACCTCTTTTTTCTCCCATTGAATATAATAGAATAAAAAATTTTTTTTATTAAAGCTGTATTTCATTTTAGAGTCAAGCCTAGGCCTCATGAAAGCAATTTTTGAATGATTTGATTTTTGAAATTAGATGGATGCCATCTGGTTGACACACTGAGCATTTTAAAATTTCAAAACAGATATATGTAATCTGAATTTATTAGTATGTATGCGGTGTTTTATTTATTTATTTGGATTAGTGTTAGTATTATTACATTGGGACATATCTAAATTCTACTGTACAACAGGAATATATTTCTGTCAAGTTAAACCGAACTTTTATTTTGACGAGTTGTCGTGAAGACCTTTTGAGTTTCTGTGTGTTTATGTCATGATGATAGTTTTTCTCAAATGAAGCGGTTAAATGATCACGAAGTGACTTTCGGAGTGGATCTAGAAGAGCCTGGAGAGGAAATTCATGCATTTGTGTCTTCATATATAGGCAAAAATACAGCGCAAGCGTACACATGATACAAAAATACACGTGCTTCCGTGTGTGTGTGTGTGTGTGGGTGGTAAATGAAACTGCGTGTCGGCTGCACCATTCATTCACACAGAACATGCAGGATTCGTATTTAAATTGTCTTTGTGGTTTAATATCCACACACACTTGTCTACATCGCGATTTGTTTTCAAGTGTACTGAACTGCTTTCTATTTATTCCTCAAAAAATTTACAAATTCCGTGAAATTCCGCGTTATACAATAAATTCCGTTTTTATGACTGGATTTTGTCAGCATTTTAGGGGGGGCGGGGTGACGTTTTGGGGGGGCGGGCCGCCCCCCCAAAAACAATGGTAGGGGAAACACTCGTATGTGTATAAATGTGTGTGTGTGTGTGTGTGGATGTGTCTGTTTTGCACTCTTGATGTTTTATAGATTCACCCCTTCACTGTTGTGTGCTTTTTTTCTGGATCGTGGCTGATTTGTAGATTGTACGCACAAAAAAAACTCTGTATTTTCACATTTTTGCCAATTTCCCATTCATTTCCTATGCGGGTCCATTTGGACCCAAAGGTCCTGAGTGTTACTATTTTTTTTTTTAAACCACTTAGGCTATTCAAATCCTGTCCCCAATTTTTTTGGGTGTTCATATACCAAGTACCAACAAAGTCACCAAATTTCAGACCATTCTGATGAAGCTTCGATTTTTAATAATTTTTTATTTAAATGCTTCGGGTCCATTTGGGCCGAAGGACCCTTAATAAAGAAGCCGTATTACACAAGCATTGTACAATAGTTTTACAAGAGAATACTATTTCAGTCTTTCTACTTCAAAATGTCATGTTTAATTCACTGTGTGACTTGTCGTTTCTTTGTAATCATTCGTGAAGTTTACTTGCGATTTTTAAGTGAAAATGGTTTCAAAGTAAATCCTACACCAAATTTGTTTTAGTGTATCTGCAATTGATAACTTGCTAAATTGCTATAGATAATCATCATAACACCAACTAATTTCCACTAATTGCTGTTCATCTTTCCTTATCTTGCTTGCGTGAAAGCATTATCAACTTTCAAATGTGTGTTGCAGAATTTGATAAGTCCATAAAGAACTACACTAAGTTTGATGATTGGTATCTGTGGGTGCAGATGCATAAAGGAACCGTATCAATGCCAGTGTTTCAGTCTCTGGAGGCGTTCTGGCCTGGACTGCAGGTGAGAAAGCAGATCTTTCGCCATACACTAGTCCAGTATGTCCACCATTTTATATATTTGCATCTGAGAGCAGATTTCTGTGACTCCTAATAATGCACATGTGTTTATTTAATATCAGAGTTTGATGGGTGATATTTCCAGTGCCACAAAGACCTTCCAAAACTACTACAGTGTTTGGCGTCAGTTCGGAGGCCTCCCAGAGTTCTACAGCATTCCTCAAGGCTACACCGTGGACAAGCGCGAGGGCTACCCTCTGCGGCCAGGTATCTATAAAACACACTGCACAAGAGAGCAGTCCTCAAACCATTGATTAGTTGTCTTTTAAACCATTATATCACATTCCTGAGCTTTTCTTAAAAACGTCAAATACATATTTATTTCGTTTTTAGATATTTTTAAAACGAGTTTTGTAAAACATTTGAAATAAATAAATATATATATAGTCCTTTTTGCATTCTGGGTCGATATCAACTGTGGCTTTAGAAGTGATTTGGTGCCTTTTTTTCCATCTCTGACTTTTATTTTACAAAAGTATTTTTGAGACAAATGTTGATAAACATGAAAATGCATGCTTAGACACACTATACACCAAATGTAAGTGATAGAAATAAAGAATATCATATTGAACTACAGCCTGGAAGGTGTGCAGAGCAAAAGTTCAAAGACCAAATAGTGTACATTTTAAAGAAGTCGATATTTCACTCTGCTGACACCAATTGATAAATCGTTGAATGGAATTTTGATCATCTTTTTCATCATAAAAGTTAGTTTATGGGAGTAAAATAAATGTATTTCGTTAGAAAACATTCTAAAGTAATATTTACACTATCGTTTGAATGTTTGGGGTCGGTAAGATTTTTAATGTTCTTGAAAGAAGTCTCTCACTATCTGATCAAAAATACAGTAAAAACAGTAATGTTATCAAATATTATCACAATTCAAAATAACTGTTTTCTATTGTAATATATTGTAAAATGTCATTTGTTCCTGTGATGGGAAAGCTGAATTTTCAGCATCATTACTCCAGTCTTCAGTGTCACATGATCCTTCAGAAATCATTCTGATATGATGATTTGATGCTCAAGAAACATTTCTGATTGTTATCAGTAGAAAGCAGTTGTGCAGCTTCATATTTTTGTGGAAACCCTGACACATTTTTTTAGGATCCTATGAAGAACAAAAGTTAAGAACGGCATACATTTTTGTAAAATTATAAATGTCTTTTCCTGTCACTATTGATCAATTTAATGCATTCTTGCTCTTTAAAAAATAAATAAAATAAAAAACTTTGACCCCAAACTTTTGAACAGTAGTGTGTTGTTTTGATCTTGTTTTGTTCGAGAAGGATTTTGTAGGTTTCATAAATGTGGAGTTATAAGTTCAAGGAATAAACAAATACTGGTAATTCTCATAAAACAATACATTTAAATAAAATGTCTCTATATTGATAAAAATATTCTTTCTTGCATCACACTAAAGTTCGTGTAATATGACATTTTCAAGATTTTCACAACAGCCCTGGAATGTGAGTCTTTTTTTAATGCTTTATAAGGGTTACGATTGCTTTAAAGGGATACTCTACTGGTTTTTCCTATTAAACTATGTTATTCCCTTAACTAAGACGAGTTGATATATACCTATCTCGTCTCAGTGCGTGCACTACATCGCTGTCTGCGGCGAAACTTTGTTAGATCTTATCTCAGCCCTGTTCATTCACTACGTGCCCAGAAGAGAAGCGACCAAACACCTCCACCTCCCTATTTAAATACAGTTACACGAGGAGTGTAACTCGACCTAGGACGGTGACACAAAATAAAACGTTGCGCTTTTCTAAGTGTGTAAAATGGATAACTATATTGTATGGCAGAATACCATAGCAAGTGCTTGGGAGCACTTCGACTCGGCGCAGTAATATCATCTCTCGTGAAAAGTCCTCTCCCCCCGCTCCCTCTCCTCCTCCCTCTCCTTCAACGGGAGCGGACTTTTCACGAGAGATGATATTACTGCGCCGAGTCGAAGTGCTCCCAAGCACTTGCTATGGTATTCTGCCATACAATATAGTTATCCATTTCACACGCTTAGAAAAGCGCAACGTTTTATTTTGTGTCACCGTCCTAGGTCGAGTTACACTACTCGTGTAACTGTATTTAAATAGGGAAAACGTGGAGGTGTTTGGTCGCTTCTCTTCTGGGCACGTAGTGAATGAACAGGGCTGAGATAAGATCTAACAAAGTTTCGCCGCAAGACAGCGATGTAGTGCACGCACTGAGACGAGAGAGGTATATATCAACTCGTCTTAGTTAAGGGAATAACATAGTTTAATAGGAAAAACCAGTAGAGTATCCCTTTAAGGCCGGAATACACTATATAACTTTTCCCCAGATTTTCGGTCTCTCTGGACGGGCGCTAGTTGTCGGAAGTCAAATCCAGTCTTCAGATTTGAGTTGACATTTCACAGAAAATCTCACAGTTTATGATGGGCACAAACTGCTAATTATTTAATTTATTTTTTAGCTTCAGGCTTTTGATTCCATCCAGTCGTCGGCGATCAAACATGTTGGATATTTTGAGCTGATTTTATAACACGCTCTGTTTTCATTTGTCATGCGTCAACTCAACGAGCCGGATCTTTCTGCGCGAGTTTGTTGTGTTCGTACTTGTAACAACTTGAAAATCTAGTAGTGTATGATCCTCAATCTTTTAGTGTGTGATGCTTAGTGTTTTACAATCTGTTGTCAAAAGTCATGTAGAGTATTTCAGCCTTCAGCGACACTTTAGCAATCAATGGCTTTGCAAATAACAGGCATGTTGGCAGCAAGTTTTGCACGGGTACCGTATTGATACATTTACATGAATGAAACTGAAGTAACTAATTGTGTTGTGCAGAGTTGATCGAGAGCGCCATGTATCTGTACAAGGCCACCGGCGACCCGACGTTCATGCAGCTTGGCCGGGACGCAATCGAGTCGATTGACAAAATCAGCCGGGTGAACTGTGGTTTTGCCACTGTGAGTGTCTCAAAATGAGTCTCAAACCTTCAGCAATATTGAGACTGAATCCAGCGGAGTCTCTAAACGTACTCGTCTTTTTTATTTCCGCCAAAGGTGAAGGACGTAAGGGACCACAAGTTGGACAACCGCATGGAGTCCTTCTTCCTGGCCGAGACCATTAAATACCTCTACCTCCTCTTCGATCCTGAAAACTTCCTTCACAACACGGGCACTGAGTTTGAGCTCGGCGGCCTGCAGGGGGACTGCGTTCTCAGCGCGGGGGGGTACATATTTAACACGGAGGCTCACCCGCTCGACCCCGCCGCGCTCCACTGCTGCAGCCGATCCCGGGACGAGCACAGGGAACTACAGGACATACTCCTCAGCTTCTCAGAACCACTCAGGCCTCCCGCGGACACATCAGAGGAGACGTCAGGGCACCGGAGCGCCCCGGAGAGCATCGCACTGAAGCCAGGAGAGAAACGAAAACCTCCTGCGCTCTCCTGCCCCGTGCAGCCGTTCAGCGCCAAACTGGCCGTCATGGGTCAAGTCTTCTCGGACAACTCTTGAACAGACGTTCGCACCGCTAACAATGTGTAAAGATGTAGATTATCTTTGTAATTTAACTTTGGAGAGATTAAATGTTTTCTAAAAATGTGTGGATTTTTTCCCCCACTCTTTTTATTAAAAAGTTTTAGATAACAAAAAGTGTTGGTGTTCAGTACAGTTCTTGTAATCAGATCCTCAAAATAATGAGTGTTTTACAAATACTGCACATTTACCTTCAGTCATACAATATGTGGAATAAAGGAGAAAACTATCCACTAAAAGGAATAGTTCAGACAAAAATGAAAACTCTGTCATCATTTACTAACCTTCAAGTTGTCTCAAACCTGTATGAGTTTCTTTCTTCTGCTGAACTCAATGGAAGATATTTTGAAGAATGTCGGTAACCCAACAGTTGTTGGACCCCATTGACTTCCATAGTATTTTTTTTTCCTACTACGGAAGACGTCAATGGGGTCCATCAACTGTCTGGTTACTGACATTCTTCAAAATATCTTCCATTGAGTTCAATAAAAGCAAAAGAAAATTCATACAGGTTTGAAACAACTTGAGAGCGAGTAAATGATGACAGAATTTTCATTTGTAAGTGAACTATTCTTTTAATAGGCCACACAAGACTAAACACTGCTGCTTAACTGAGATTTTAATACTAATGCTACTGTGTCATGCTAATCAGTCTGGCGTCGAGTCTAAACAGCGTGTTTTCTCTTCACGTGAGAAAGCCAACGAGGGCCAGAGAGCATAAAGTTTATAATGAACATGCCCTCAAACTCTTGCCAGTTTTGTATGCCAGAACAAACTGAGAATGGCACGACTGTAGCTCTGGACAAAGCCTTCTGTTCTTCTGGGCTGGGATTAGTGGATTCATGGCTGCTTTAACTTCCTTTGAGGCAAATAAACTAATCGACCTGGGTTATTAGCAATTACACAGTACACATTATCTTAGAAGCTGTAATGCCTCGGGTATTTCCGAGTTATTCTGCTGCATGTTCGACTGTTGTGACAAAGTCAAAATGTAAGGTAAGATTTGGGTGTGTAACACTTCAAAATGAAAAATCTGTCATCATCTACTCTCCCTCAAGTTGTTTCAAACCTTTGTGAATTTCTTTCTTCTGCTGAACACAAAAGAAGACATTTTATAGTTTTTTATTTTATTTTATTGCATAGTATTTTTTCCTACTATGGAAGTCAATGGGGACCATCAACTGTTTGGTTACCGACATTCTTCAAAATATCTTCCTCCGTGTTCAGCAGAAGAAAGAAACTCATACAGGTTTGAAACAACTTGAGGGTGAGTAAATGATGACAGAGTTTTCATTTTGAAGTGAACAATTCCTTTATTGAACCTTATTGTAAACCTTGACCTATATTCTGTGGTTGAATTCATACATTTATAGTCAGTGTGAATGATCTAAATAGCTATTCTGGGGAAAACTGTAGTCCTGTAGACTCGTGTGTTTTCCACAGGGAGATCTTGATCTTAAACTCCACCTCCTGCTGTCCACCTCCATCAGACTCTTGGCTGGTTTTGCTGAAACCGTGTGACCATGTAGGAGCCGATGTGATTGGAGAAACTTAATAAGAACTCTCCGTTATTTCTCTATTTCTCCCGGTATCTGTCCCATTTCCTTCCACATCTTCGCTAGTGTCTGCCTTACTGTTCCCGGCAGTCCCAGACAGACCCGTCTGAGTGCTCAGAGAGAGATGTGTGTTCAACCTGATGGTAGAGCTTCTTCAGGATGCCCTTCTTTGGCAGTTTCATGTTCTGGTTGTGGGAAGAAGCTTCAAGAGGTGACTGCAGAAAAGAGCCGCTGAATGTTCTTTCCTTATGTTTCTTTCTCGGTAGCGTAGAAGCACATGGTTTACTCTCTGTAACTCCTGAGAATGAAGCATCTGGGAAGTTGGGACAGTTTCGGTTTAGCCACCAATGGTTGGTTATGTCTTCCACAGTGGCTCTGTCCTCTACTTTTACTGTGAGCATCCATCCAATCAATGAACAGGCCTCTGTAAGAAGAATGGAAAGAGTCACGGTAAATTCTCACTCATGATGGAGAGCAGATATATGGAAGTGTTTGAATCTCACCCGATGGGATATCAGGTGTCTTGTGTCGTCCCTGGCGGATCTGCTCTTTAAGGATGCTGTAACTTGTGCCATCAAAAGGCATGGAGCCGTAAACCAGAGCATATAACAGCACACCAAGAGACCAACAGTCCACCTGGGACACAAGAGGAGCACATGCAGAATCATTTATGACGTGTTACTGTACAAACAGTGGGATTTCAAGTGTTAAATGCCCTTGTGAATAAGAAGCACGTTGGAGATTAAAATACTTTGTTTTTTTAAGCAAACAAAACACCTGCATCACTTCATAAAATTGAGGTTAAACCACTGGAGTCATGGATTCCTTTCATGATGTCTTTACTACCTTTCTGGGGCTTGAAATTGTAGTTGCATAGACTATCAATGGAGAGACAGAAATCTCTCATACTTTCATATCTAAAATATCTTCATTTGTCTTCAGAAGATGAACGAAAGTCTTACGGGTTTGGAACGACATTTTCACTTTTTCAGAATTTTCACTTTTAAAAAGTGCACTAATTTAAAGTATATTTTAAATCATGTTTTAAAAATCTTTTGTTGTGTTTTAAAGAAGTACTTATTTTGATGTGTTGACTAACAAACTAAAGCACGTGTAAAGTACTTGCACTGTTACATTTAAAGTAAATATTTTAAAATGCAACTTTGTCATTACAAATCTGCAATTACAAACATATTTAAATACACTGAACAAAATTATAAACGCAACACTTGTATTTGCCCCGCATTTTTCATGAGCTGAAAGATCTAAGACTTTTTCTATGTACACAAAAGACCTATTTCTCTCAAATATTGTTCACAAATGTGTCTAAATCTGTGTTAGTGAGCACTTCTCCTTTGCCGAGATAATCCATCCACCTCACAGCTGTGTGACAGCATGATTATTGCACAGGTGTGCCTTAGGCTGGCCACAAGAAAAGGCCTCTCTAAAATGTGCACTTTTACTGTATTGGGGGGATTCGGGGGAGACGTATATGCCGATCCAGAGCATCCCAAACACATTGTACATAACATAATACATTTCAATAGAAATAACGTAAAAATTAATTTACCATAAATGCTTGTCAGTACATTAAGCAGCACACTTTAAACTAGGGATGTCCCGATCCGATCACGCGATCGGAAATCGGGCCCGATCACGTGGTTTCAGACTCGATCGGAATCGGACGTTACCTCCCGATCAGGACTCGGAGTCGGATATATGTAAATTAGGGGTGTAACGGTACATGTATTCGTAATTATTGAACCGTTTCGGTACGAGGCTTACGGTTCGGTATGCATACAAACCGAACGATTCATAGGACCATTTTTCCTGCAGACAAAATCCGCACTGGCGCGACCACCACAACGTTGCGCAACATCAAATGGCAAACGTAGCGGAACGAAACTGCGCTTCTCATTATATTGTGCTTTACGGGCCATTTATCAGTTTGGACCAGCAACATCTGTGCAGCGCGAGATCAAGCGACACTGTGCTAAGAGATCCAGTGAAGAAAACATTTGAATTCGCCACTGAAGTAATAACATCGCTGCGAGATCTAGTGAGAAGCATTCACATTTCTCCGTTATTAACCGTAGATCTCTATTAGATCAAACAGCGCTGACGTGGGAACCAGGAGAAACATTGTGCCGTGAATGAACATGGATTTAATGTTGCACTTCAAAACTCAAATATTATATAAATATATATTTAAATGTTATTTTTAATGTGATTACCAAAACATTATTTGTTCATCCTTCAAAGATGACCCCCATTTATAAACCTGAAAGTTTCAAGATGAAAACTCAAACTTATTTAAAAATAGTTTTTCTTTTAATAAATAGGACATTTCTCTGGCATTTCTTTCTTTTTGCTGTATCGTATCGAACCGCAAATTTTGTGAACTGTTACACCCCTAATGTATATATATTCTCATTATTTTTTCTACACTAGCCTATTCAAACATTTTTATTTTTTGTTTACATGCCTGCCGGGTATTTTAAGTTGAGGTGCTATTTGTTTTTATATTAGACTTTTTCTATATTTACTGTTGCACTAAAGTCCAAAAGTGAAGATTTTATGTTATTTATTACTTGATTGTTCAAGCTACCTCACAGAAGTGCTCTGTTTGTTAACAGAGTTGTTGGATGTTAAAATAAGGTGAATTAAATAAAAAATAAGGAACAACCTGGATCTGTTTTTTCTCTCTTCTTTATTCTTTTTATATTTATTATATAAGTATCGGATCGGGACTCGGTATCGGTAGATACTCAAAATCAAATGACTCGGACTCGAGGGCAAAAAAACCTGATCGGGACATCCCTACTTTAAACCATATTTGAAAGACAATAGAAGTAATTATGAAATTACATATAAATATGTACTAAAGTAGGTCAAAAAAGCATTCTTAATTTTAAATAATTGCGTTTAATATAAATGTATATAATACATTTTCATTTCACTGCAATTAACAGTATTCTCTTAAAGTATATCATTTCCGTAATAAGTACTCTTTTTATAAGTATGCTAGTATACTTCTTTTCACAAGGGTGAGCGAACTGTTGAGACTGATCGACACCTCAGGGCCGTGGTATGGAAGTCCGTTGACAATCTCTGGTGAAGCATACAGGGGACTCCCGCAGAAAGTGTCCAGACGGCGGCCTCTCGTGTAGCGGTTGGACAAGCCAAAGTCAGCTAGCTACAAACAAACAGAACAATTAGAGATAAATCAACTCTGTATTAAAATGAGTGTCTTACATCGATTTATTTAATAGCATCTATTTCTGATTCACACAGGGTGGATACAAATAGCAGACGTCCATATGAAAGGTGGTTGATTTTGAAGTAGAATTAAAATTATAAATGGAGCTGCAGACATTAATCATATTATGATTAATTAGCATATTAATATGATTAATTTGATATGAAGGTTTATGCAGAATTTCTTGCAATTAGACATAAATTGTGCTTACATGTGAAATTAAACATTTGTGACTCTCAAAAACTGTTCATGGCAGACTCTATTAAAACGAATAATGAATAAAAGTCATCTTTCATCATATTTCCTACATCCAGTTAACATATGGAGACAAATGATGCCTTCAAACCTGTCTGTTACCAACTATGAATCATCGTGAGGTTTAAGCATTTTGTTTAAGCAAGTGTCATCTGATCCAATGATTGCTCTATACGGTTTGTAATGACCAAGGAATGAAGCTGTTCTATTGTGCAAAATAATGCAAACATTGTTCCCTTATAATGTTCCCATATTCCAGGATGATGATGCTCCAATAAACAGTGCTAAAGTAATTGAAGCGTGATTTTGTAAACACCAGGATGAAGTCAAATGCATTCCATGGCCACCAGATCTGCACATCCTTAAACCTTCATTGAGATGTTTGGGGTTCAAGTCGATTAATACTTCATCATCCCTCAGAAATAAAATAAGCGAAAGAACCAACGTCCAATAAAAGAGTTCAAGGCATGTTTGACAGATTCCAGGAAGAAAATGAAGATGATTTAAGCATAATTCTACCTGATCCTATAGGGTCTTTATTTTACATAGTGTTTCTTTTATTTTGTCCACCGTACTTATGATTTAAAAAATTCCAAGTGCATTAAGTTTGAGTTTCGGTAAGTTTCGGTAATGTGATGATAAAATGAATGAAAAATGAAAATGCATGAAACATAATGTCAGTTCTTCATTAATCAGTTTGGGCTTGAATTGTTTACCTTCACATTTAAGTCCTTGTCCAGAAGTACATTCTCGAGTTTGAGGTCACGATGAACCACAGCATTCTGAGGGATAACAAGAGATTTCTTAATTTTGTTTTTTAAATAAATGTAAAAAATCCTATTTACAATTTTTTTGTCAAATGTAATGTGTTTACAGTGTAGTCCTAATATTGAAAAATCTTTGACTTCAAGGCTGATTTTAATGCTTTGAGATAGAAATTCCTACTTAATATAACTAAATATAAATACAAAATATACTAGGCTATATATAATCAATTTACATATACTACACTCACCTAAAGGATTATTAGGAACACCTGTTCAATTTCTCATTATTGCAATTATCTAATCAACCAATCACATGGCAGTTGCTTCAATGCATTTAGGGGTGTGGTCCTGGTCAAGACAATCTCCTGAACTCCAAACTGAATGTCAGGATGGGAAAGAAAGGTGATTTAAGCAATTTTGAGCGTGGCATGGTTGTTGGTGCCAGACGGGCCGGTCTGAGTATTTCACAATCTGCTCAGTTACTGGGATTTTCATGCACAACCATTTCTAGGGTTTACAAAGAATGGTGTGAAAAGGGAAAAACATCCAGTATGCGGCAGTCCTGTGGGCGAAAATGCCTTGTTGATGCTAGAGGTCAGAGGAGAATGGGCCGACTGATTCAAGCTGATAGAAGAGCAACTTTGACTGAAATAACCACTCGTTACAACCGAGGTATGCAGCAAAGCATTTGTGAAGCCACAACACGCACAACCTTGAGGCGGATGGGCTACAACAGCAGAAGACCCCACCGGGTACCACTCATCTCCACTACAAATAGGAAAAAGAGGCTACAATTTGCAAGAGCTCACCAAAATTGGACAGTTGAAGACTGGAATAATGTTGCCTGGTCTGATGAGTCTCGATTTCTGTTGAGACATTCAGATGGTAGAGTCATAATTTGGCGTAAACAGAATGAGAACATGGATCCATCATGCCTTGTTACCACTGTGCAGGCTGGTGGTGGTGGTGTAATGGTGTGGGGGATGTTTTCTTGGCACACTTTAGGCCCATTAGTGCCAATTGGGAATCGTTTAAATGCCACGGGCCTACCTGAGCATTGTTTCTGACCATGTCCATATGGCCACCATGTACCCATCCTACTGATGGCTACTTCCAGCAGGATAATGCACCATGTCACAAAGCTCGAATTATTTCAAATTGGTTTCTTGAACATGACAATGAGTTCACTGTACTAAAATGGCCCCCACAGTCACCAGATCTCAACCCAATAGAGCATATTTGGGATGTGGTGGAACGGGAGCTTCGTGCCCTGGATGTGCATCCCACAAATCTCCATCAACTGCAAGATGCTATCCTATCAATATGGGCCAACATTTCTAAAGAATGCTTTCAGCACCTTGTTGAATCAATGCCACGTAGAATTAAGGCAGTTCTGAAGGGCGAAAGGGGGTCAAACACAGTATTAGTATGGTGTTCCTAATAATCCTTTAGGTGAGTGTATATAAATATATAATTTGTATACAGTACTAATTTCTGTTTGCAGTATTTTGAGTGTTATTCAGTTTCGTAATATTACTAAGATTGCCAAACATTTCTCATTGCCAGCACTGTTATCTAGAATACAATAATAAACAGGAAGTTGTTTTGTTTCGGCTGTATTTAGAAGAAATAAAAGTTACTAATAACAAATTTGTCAGCTTAACTGACCTGAACTTCCATCTATAATTTGAATGTTGTTTATTAAAAGATGTTACATTCAGGTACATTCGACTAGTGAAATGTTGACTGTGCACATTTGATACATTTAGTAGCATTTTTAGGTGAAATACATAATTTTCCTCGCCCCTCTCCATCCCCAGCACCACCTGCCTAAATCTGCTAGGCGGTTCTCCCGACTTTCCTTGCAGCAGCTCATATCCTAGTGCCTGTATTTGTGTGCATGTTTTAGCATTAGCTGTGTGCAGCGTAGCAGACTAAGCCTATACATTTCATTCATATCAATAAAATGCTGTTTAAATCTACCCAGAGAATTGTCATGATTGAAATGCCTATTCAAGAAAAAACTGCTCATATGTAGAATGAATGCCATGAGAATTTAAGAACAGAAATGTGTTTACTTTATGGCAGTAGTGCACAGCAGAGGTGATCTGTCTGAAGAAGTGTCTGGCCTCGTCCTCTGACAGTCTCCGTTTCTCCTGAATGTACTCATAAAGCTCACCTCCACTCGCATACTCCATCACCATCACAATCCTCTCCCCGCTCTCAAACACTGAAAACATATCCACACACATTTCATGAATCATTTGTTGGGTTAATCTGGAAAGAGAGAGTATCTTAATCTCTATGATTCAGCATTTTGCATATGACAAACAAATCCGTAGTGTGAGACTGTTGTGTTTTACCCTCGTATAGACGGATGATATTTGGGTGCGTAAGAGAGGCGGTGATTTCAATTTCTCTCTGAATGTGAGCCCTATCCAGATCATCCCTTAATCTCTCCTTTCTAATGGATTTAATAGCCACCTGAAGAACACAAACAGACACATTGTAATCAAACACATCATTGAACAAAACACGAATGTCTGTAAGAATATGGGTCAATGATGTGATGCTCAGTTATTAAGTTATTCAAAAAAAACATGGAAAATGCAATTAATATTGACTTGAATACATTTCTTCTTAGTGCGCCTCTTGAGGCCAGGGGAGTGAGGTTTACATACACAGCTCTTACTGGCCTACGTCCGTTACACTCACCCCCTTAAACCTCACTCCCATCCGGGTCACGGCACCAAATATAACAGTCCTACTCGACCCGTTCTGGGGAGCATTTCCCAAAAGCATCGTTAGCCAACTATGGTCGCAAGTTCTGTCGTTATCAGCATAGTTCAACGAGTCTGTGTTTCCTGAAACCATCGTTCTAACGAACATTCACAAACAGAATCGCAAAGTTGTGTGGTCTGAACGACAGCTCTCACCCTGTGGTCAGAAGCAGTTTCTTGTTTGCATGACATGTGCACTCAATAAATCCTTATCTTGAGCTGACATTCAGTGCAATCTAGATCTTTTATTTCGAATACATGTCATGTCTGTAATTTATAGCAAAACATCTAGCATTAATTCGATGTCAAACAGATTCATTAAAAGAAGTTATTACTCCAATACCTGTGTGAGGTCATTAACCATCGTGGTTGACCAATTTGCGAAAATATGGTTTCGGGAAACAGTCGTGACTAGCTAGTTGATTTCTTCAACGATGCATTGCACTATGGTAGTTAAGCAGCAAGTTATTTTGTTGTTCGGGAAACCTACCCCTGAGCGGGATTCGAACCGGAGTCTCCAGCATGGAATACCGCAATTAATATCATCTTGAATACATCTCTTCTTAACGCGCCTCTTAGAGGCCAGGGGAGTGAGGTTTACATACATAGCTCTTACTGGCCTACATCTGTTACACTCACCCCCCTAAACCTCACTCCCATCCGGGTCTCTAGCGTGGAACATCGAGATTTTATCACTGAAAAAACTGTAACGGAGGTGGCCGAAACCTGCTGTCTGTATTACGGCACTGGCAGTGGCATCTGGGAATCTGCCAAGCACCTCTGACCCTAATCTGGAGATGTGGAGAGACGCCTCGCTCCCCTGTCACACATGCACACAGCACCCGGCTCCCTCTGAATGCTGTTAGTGTTTGTCTGCAGGAATCCCAGCTATGCAAAGGCTCCTGGATTCCGGAATACTTCACCTCTGAGTCCAGATGAGTGACAGAGAGGCTCAGCTGCTGCTCTAATCTGATTGGACAGTTTTTTCCATTAACGCTCGCATACGTTTTCAGGCTGTGAAAGAGTGCAGACAGCAGGCTAGGGGAAATATCTCCTTTGTTTTTGTTAAATGACAGACTGAGTGATAAGTATTTAATTAAGTGTGCTAACATGAGGTCTAACTACAGTAGACACACACACACACACAGCACCTATTGGATGACCCCAAAAGTAAGACCCCAAGAGTAATTAACTGAGGTGAATTGCTAAGTAAATTTGTGTTGAATGACAGACAGGCTGTCAGAACTGACGTCAGAGGACATCCTGGATACTCTTTTAAAATAGAAAAATTAAGTCATTATAATTTTTTTTATTAAATAGATCAATAAAATTTAGCCATTATTAGGAACTAATAAGAAAAAAAAACATTAAAGCCATATTTTTTGGGAATACTCCAGCATTTCAAGTTAAATCATTTATTGATTTGATTAATTTTTGCATACTTGTGAATTTACTTCAGTTATATTTAAAATGTAATACTTTAGTGTTTTTGTCAGAACTTTTGTCAATACATTTCCATAACTCTTCATTTTCACTGCATACGTTTTTGTCAAATCATTATAATTTTATAGAAAGGCATCATTTATACTTTATATATTATCTCAGCAACAGGCTCAAGTATGCCTTCATCAACTCTAAAACCAGAACTGATATCATTTAGCATTATTATGATTAAAATTGCTATTATTATAATGATTCAATTTTAAATTAAAAACAATCAATACTGTGGATAAAAATCAGTGATGAGTTCTCCTCTCCCTTTATTGAGACACCTGAGACACTTGTTTTGACATGTCATATTGACATTTTCTCAAATAAAGACCCTCTTGTAACAGCTAGTGGACTTATTTACAAATTCATGAAACCAGATCGGATGCTTCACAAAAGCAAAACAATTTGCCGTTTTTGTATGGCTGAATTTCAATCTCATCAAATAAAGTATATGAAAAATCGTGAACCAAGCCCTAATTCTTTCTTAAAAACTGAATTTGTTAAAGCAACTATTTTACCCTATATCATAATAATGAAAGTCATTTCAAGGTTTAACAAAGCACAATCAAAATCCCTAAACATCCTTAAGTACTCCATGGGTTTCCTCTGGTTGGTAATCATTGCATATAGGAATATTTCTATAATTCCTCAAGATTTTATGTCCATGATTTTTACAGTTATGGAAACCAACTTTTTTTAAATCCCTGATATTTCCTTTTTTTTTTATGCACGGCAAATTTTTGTAAATTTACCACCAAGCATTGCATTGCTGATGGAGTAAAGAGGAAAATAGATAGATAGATAGATAGATAGATAGATAGATAGATAGATAGATAGATAGATAGATAGATAGATAGATAGATAGATAGATAGATAGATAGATAGATAGATAGATAGATAGATAGATAGATAGATAGATAGTGACATGTGAAATCAAAACTAGCTACAAGAACATAGTCGCTCACCGTTTTTCCACACTGTCTCGCTACCGCGCGCTTGACTTTGCCGTACGTGCCCGTACCCAGCGTCTCCAGCACTTCATACCGGCGCTTGAGTCTGTGTGTGTGATGGTGTTTCTTCACTGAAGTCTGGCGCTCCGCTCGCTCCTCCGGTGTGTGTGTGGAGGTCGCGTCAGTGACCCGCTGCCGCTCCATGGCAACCGCGCGCGGAGGCTCCGCTCACCTGGGAAGTGAGTCGTGTTTTGAACGGACTTAAAAATAGTTTTTTCTGACATTTACGGGGATAAAATAATAGGAAAGACACTAGCATGATGTGTTATGTTGAACGTCTCAAACATCTTCTGCCAATATTTATGCGGTGGGATGGTGAGACTCGGAGTGGGAGGGGTGGAGTCCTGCTGTCAATCATCAGGTGACGCGCATCAGTGCCAGCAGCCAGACTCTGATGGATGGGACTGCTGACCTCAATCCTACCTTACAGAAAACCCTACAAACCCTACACACTCTCAGTGTGATTGCAACTCAATGGCTTTTACATCCATGGTTTGCTGTTCAGAAAGGACGTTATTTTTATTCTCGCTTAAGAATTTTTCAATAGCCTACACTGTGGCAAAAAAAAATAAAAAAAAATGAATTGGACACTTAAAGGGTTAGTTCACCCAAAAATGAAAATTATGTCCCAAGCCCGTAAGACCTCCGTTCATCTTCGGAACACAGTTTAAGACATTTTAGATTTAGTCCGAGAGCTTTCTGTCCCTCCATTAAAAATGTATGTACGGTATACTGTCCTTGTCCAGAAAGGAAATAATGACATCATTAGCAAAGTAGTCCATGTGACATCAGTGGGTTAGTTAGAATGTTTTGAAGCATCAAAAATACATTTTGGTCCAAAAATAACAAAAACTACGACTTTATTCAGCATTGTATTCTCTTCCGGTTGTGTTGTCAATCCACGTTCAGTGACGCTGATGACGTAAGACGCTGCTGACGTGTGTCTGGTGCGTCCGTGTATTCGGGTTCAAATAAATATGGCTGGGCAAAAAAATGCAAGTCTTCCTCTGTGTGGAAATCCTTAGACATGTTTGCGAAGATTGTTTTGTTTACAGCGTGCATCTCCCTCAGACTGTAAACGAAGCTCGGGCGCACCAGATACACGTCATCAGCGTCTTACGTCATCAGCGTCACTGAACGCGAATCGATAACAGAACCGGAAGACAATACAATGCTGAATAAAGTCGTAGTTTTTGTTATTTTTGGACCAAAATGTATTTTCGATGCTTCAAAACATACTAACTAACCCACTGATGTCACATGGACTACTTTGATGATGTCTTTATTTCCTTTCTGGACAAGGACGTACATACATTTTCAATGGAGGGACAGAAAGCTCTCGGACTAAATCTAAAATATCTTAAACTGTGTTCCGAAGATGAAAATAGGTCTTACGGGCTTGGGATAACATGAGGGTGTCATTAATGACATAATTTTCATTTTTGGGTGAACTAACCCTTTAAGCCACACCGAAGACTAATGTTTTTGCATTGAATTATAAAATATCAAACAAATTGTATTTATTCAAATTGTATCTATTCTTATTATGTCAAAGATCATTTAGTGACTGACATTATGATCATTTACAAATACAATTGAACATAATATTTACATATTAGTTGCTGAGCTTGTATTTGTTACATGTGTGTCCTGAGTTTTCCCCCTCATTGTGTATTTGGTTTATTCCTGTGTCTCAGTTTTCCCTCTCCTCGTTAGTTCTCAGTTCCTTCACCTGTGTCTAGTTCATTTGCCCCAGCTGTGTCTTGTTCCCCTATCTGTTCTCTGTGTATGTAAACCCTGTGTTCTCCCTCACTCCTGGTCGGTTCTCGTTTGTGTATGGTACGTTTGTATTTGGTGTGGTAATGTTTCCTGGATTCCTGTTTTAAGTTATATTTAGTAAAGATTATTGAATTTGATCTGCTGACTGCTGCCTCTTCATCTGCCTGCACCACACCCGTAACAGAAGAACCGACCCTAACATCGATGGATGCAGCAGTCCAAATCCTTCTCCTGTCCCAGGAGGATCAGTCCCTCGAGGCCCACACACAGAGGTATTTAGACTTGGTACCTCTAGTTCATTTTGATGACACCAGCCTCTGTGTGTTCTTCCGGGCAGGCCTCAACGCTGACACCAAAGTATGCCTGCCCGGAGATGGGCCTCGGGGGAACTTCGCTGCCTTTGTTGAGTGGGTATTGGCGAGCTGTGGTTCTCCCTTCACCATCCGTCCAGGGGAAGAGGAGGAGCTTATTGACTGGGACACAGAGCTTCTGCCACTGATCCCAGTCAGCCCCAAGTCTTCACCGCTGGTTCCGTCCAGCCCAGCCAAGCCCTCACCGCTGGTTCAGTTCCGTCCAGCCAAGCCTTCACCGCTGGTTCCGTCCAGCCAAGCCTGCACCGCTGGTTCCGTCCAGCCCAGCCAAGCCTGCACCGCAGCTTCACGTCGCCTGCCCGCCAGAGCCTGAACAAGTCACGCCTGCCGAGCCAGCGCCCCACGTCAGCCCTGCAGAGCCTTCTCCGCTGGTCCCGTCCAGCCCTACAGAGCCTTCTCCGCTGGTCCCGTCCAGCCCTACAGAGCCTTCTCCGCTGGTCCCGTCCAGCCCTTCCAAGCCTGTCCTTATGCACGTCTCTGAGCCTGGCAATCCCCCCAAGAAAATTTTGGGGGGGGGATATAGGCCGCCCGAAGGTGCGTCTCCGCCATGGCCGCCCGAAGGTGCGTCTCCGCCATGGCCGCCCGAAGGTGCGTCTCCGCCATGGCCGCCCGAAGGTGCGTCTCCGCCATGGCCGCCCGAAGGGGATTCTCCGCCATGGCCGCCCGAAGGGGATTCTCCGCCATGGCCGCCCGAAGGGGATTCTCCGCCGGGACCGCCCGAGGGGTGGTCTCCTACTCTGCCATGGCCCCCTGACCAGCCTGCTCCGCCCTGGAGGCTTCCTGCTCAGGGTAGGCCACGCCCTCGTCAGCCTCCAGGGCGCCCGCCCCCCCACCCCTATTGAAGTTATACGGCGCGAGGACGCGCCTTTTTGGAGGGGGCGTTATGTTACATGTGTGTCCCGAGTTTCCCCCCTCATTGTGTATTTGGTTTATTCCTGTGTCTCAGTTTTCCCGCTCCTCGTTAGTTCTCAGTTCCTTCACCTGTGTCTAGTTCATTTGCGCCAGCTGTGTCTTGTTCCCCTATCTGTTCTCTGTATGTAAACCCTGTGTTCTCCCTCACTCCTGGTTGGTTCTCGTTTGTGTATGGTACGTTTGTATTTGGTGTGGTAATGTTTCCTGGATTCCTGTTTTAAGTTATATTTAGTAAAGATTATTGAATTTGATCTGCTGACTGCTGCCTCTTCATCTGCCTGCACCACACCCGTAACAGTATTAGTATTGATGTGATTAGAAATGAGACCAAACTGAGAAACATCATGGCTGAGTTCAACTTTTGAAGGTAACTTAAAGGGTTACGTAAACCTGGTTCCCCGAGAAGGGAACGAGACACATTGGGTCTCATTCATGAAACATTCGTAAATATGCAAGTGATTTGCGCGTAAAGAGACCTTCCCGAAAACTCTTCTCCTGATTCACAAATACTTTGTAAACGTCAGATGTGATAGTGAAATGTGTGTGTTAATGAATTCCAATCAGTCGTAAATGGGACGGCCGTGCACGCTCATTTTCAATTACCATAAATCCCGCCCATTAAATCCGACTGACAAGTTTTATTATCAGAAGTTCATTCAAAACACCATTTTATTTTCAAGCGTACATAGTGGTGTATCGGGTCCTAAAAAAAAGGAAGCTTGGCAGCATATTACAGAGGCAGTTAATGGAGTTTCATCTGTTAATCGAACATTCCCAGAAGTGAGAAGAAAATGGTTCGACATTAAGCTTGAGAGCAAAAAACGAATTAGTTCACTTCGGAAAAATAGTTTTCAAACTGGAGAAGGACCACCATCGCAGATGCTAATACTGGCTCTCATAATAAGAAAAAACGTATGTAATTACTATATATATGTTTTCAAAATGCTGTGTAAATATGTACCCGATTAAGGTGAATTAAAATGCAGCCTTATTTATGAGCAAAACGTTCGGGTGTTAAGCGCACTATTTACGCGTGGCGGGGAGCAGGTGTAGATTTCTTGTGTACCAACTAACATTTGGAAAATACGAACATTTTAATGAATCCGAAAATTTACGCCAGAACTACTTTACACACGATTTACACAAAAATTTGTTCTGCTCGTGTTTCATGAATGAGACCCATTGTCAGTAGCTGACACAATGGGGAGACATCCTGCGGAACCTGGTGTCTAAAGCACGTGTGAATTCACACCAATCTTATTGGCTGACGGCGGGCTGATGACATCACCTGGAGTGCCCAGGCGTATAAAAGGTGATTGCCTTACACGTCATCAAATTTGAATTTTCTGAAGGCAGGCATACCCTAAGCATGGGAACGCAACCCAGCATCAATATGCTTCTCAGGGAACCAGCTTACATTCCTAACCCTAAGACATTCCCTTTCAATGAAACTTAACGCTGCGTCAGGAGCTGAATCTATGGGGATGTAATACCCACTATGCAATGCTGACCAATGCCTGCCTGTGCACTGTGAAAGTCACCAGCAGCAATCACAACCTTGTCAGACTTAAGCACTGGGCCTCAATGGGCCTCGACCCCAGAGAAACCTAAATGCATTAGCAACCAATTCGGACGCATCCTGTGACAGCACAGGAAAACCCTGAAGCCTCTATGCTCAGCCGTTTATGAAACAGAGACTCTTGCATTAGAACAGTCCGAGCCGCAGCTACAGGACAGCCCAGAGCCCCAATGAGCAGACCTAAGAGGAAGACTATATAGACATAGCCTCAGCCAAGTCCATAGCACTACATTTAGCAGCCAAACCAGGCCAGAGATGAAATACGAAGTCGCTCGCACCAACTGGGCACCGGTACTGACAATTTCTGACACATTTGCTGAGGAAGGTTTTCCAGTTTTATTTTTGTCGGAGTGTCCAAAGCGCTACGAGCTGTAAAGGGCCCTCTTCTGGAAAGGGGGCTCATGCTCATTTGCATTTAAAAATGTTTTTGCTTCCACCCAAATAAGGGCATTTAGGGCATGTTATAATAAATGATATAAATGACACCTGAGACTTACATCTTGTAAAAAAGGGCATAATAGGTCCCCTGATAGATCTGATAGATTGGGGAGGGTACCAGATGAGAGAGTGGACCACTTCGTGTGGCTTAGTCCACCTCATCTAGCGTCTGTTCAGCTCTAAACCATGAATATACTAACCAAGCCTTGAGAGGTGAGCCTATGAAAGAGTGAACAGAGACCACATTCAGTTTCACCTATCTGGACTCATAAGAATATCTGTCAGTGAGCACAACCGTGCTTTAATCCCAGTCAATCTCAACCCTACAGACGCTATTATCACTGCAAGTTCACCAAGGAAGCGTGCACTATCGCCTCCTACTCTGGAGAGGGATACAGATAATAAGTGAGACTTTTACAAAAGTCCTCTACATTATATTAACCTGCCCATTCCTTGAGAACTTTTAGGAAGCATGCCAACATTGAGACAATGTTTACACTAACAGCTCTCTGCTGAATATGATGAAGGGGGAACTGATGGAAGTGCTTTAAAACACCAGCTTTTTAATCCATCAAACCTCCTCTGCCTAACACCCCCAGATATGCTGGAGGAAGGGGACCTTATTAAAGTGAAGGGGCCACATCTTTTCACCACGTCCCTTAGCAGCCTTACATCAGCCTTAGCGTTCCTTAGCAGTCTTACATCAGAGGAGCATGCTAAACAACAGCATTGCTCTGGACCAGATAAGAAAGCGGATCACCTCATCTCACCGCAACTTCACACTTTCAATTAACATCAGTCCATCCTCTGGACCTAAGCCCCAGAGTAAAATGCTGAACAACAGAATAAGATAAGATAGCGGATCGCATAATCTCCCCGCAACTTCACGCTCTTAACATTTGTCCATACTTTGTGCTTAAGCCCCTCCAAAAGCAGGATGTAAGCATTGAGCTGGGTTCTCCTAGAGAAGCGAGCAGGCATTTACTGTGTCCACTCTCTCCAAGCCTAAAAGCTAGAGAACTCTTCCGTAGGAAAACTCCTGAAGGTCCTTGAAGGCAGAAAGCAACATCAGCGTAAGCTGAGACACCACCCTCGGGCAGCACTGCTGAGAGGAGATTGGGCAGATTGGGCAGATCCCATGGTGTGCAGAGACCCAATGGCCTGACCTGCCACCACATTTGACTTGCCACAAGCCGCAAGGAGGAAAAGCAGAGGTGGCGGACTCATTTGATAACACCTGCATCGACTCTACCAACCTGCAACACCACGAACGAAGGGCCTGAACTGAGAGGTGCAAACACTTGACTCTCATCCCACAAGAAAAGAGTCAAGCGAGAGGGGAGCTCCCTCAGCTCGCTTGCTCTACTCCCGTTATCAAGGCAGGAGTCTCCAAAGAGGATGCAGCACCAGGGAGAGAAAGCAGTTTCCTGAACTGACATGAGAGCAACAGAGCTAGCAGGAGAAGCCCAAGAAGGGAAAAACTCCCTATACTCCTTACAATCCCTATGACCGATCCCGCTCTGCCACCTTGGCAGCCGCGCGACCCAAACCGCAAGGTGCAGATACTCAACTCTCATCCCTCAAGAGAGAATCAAGCAAGAACAGAGTTTCTTACCGCGAATGATTCGCAATGAGTGCATCCAGTGTCTGGTGGCTCTGTTCCATACAGAACTTACAAAGTCCCTTTAAGGCAAGTCATTTCACTCTGCGTCTGTCTTTGAAACACCTCTCAGCCAATGCACATGTGCAGTCATCTAGCTTCTAACGGCAGCTGCAGTGACTCAATGACTTTACCAATAGGCAATTGGCTCTTTTATTTAGAAGGCGGGACATATTCCGCCAGCCATATTGTGCGTTGCACTTTCTCCCATTCATAGTAAAACGAGTCTTTGTATAAAGTTGTTGATACATATAAATTGGCTGATTACTTTGTTCTCCTAACTCATCTCGTTTACTTGGGGAAGTCATCTTGGCAGATAAAACAACTCAAATTAAACTGACAGATGATGACAAAAAATATAACAATTGGACAGCTGAAAGGACAGCTTTTAGTGCTCACTGACAAATAAGATGTTGCCTTTTTATATTTTGTTATATTTATCACATTGTAGGCTACTATTTTTGTCCATGTGTTTGTGAGTTAGTGAAGTGTCACAAGTTCATTAACTGATGTGTGATATTTGGCAATCTCATGTTTATGGGACTGTTGTGGGTGTGGTGTGGGATGGATCTTTAAAGACTCTGATAATGACCCAAGAACTTTTCCTATATGGACATTTCTGGTTTGAACATACTGCAGGTACCTGCACACTGAAATTCCCCTCTATAGGAATCCTTTGGCTGCTCCTATAGATGGTTCCTTCATCTGTCTGTCATCTCTCCATGGAAACCTATAAATGGACTCATTATTCTCAGTGAAAAGAAGAATCGTCACAGATATATTCTCAGGGAGAAAAAAAAAACATCTCAATTTATACTTTACCCCCTGGGAGGCGTTTGAGGGTTTGAGTTGCCGAAACCCCCAAACCTAGGCAAAAAGGAACATACAATGAACATGAATAGGACAGGCATGGGTTTCTCTGAACATGGTGGAGCAAAATTCTGCGTGGAGAGGATCATCCTGGATGAACTTAAACTTGAGGAAGTAGCTCAACGGCAGACTGAAATCCACGGGCCCTCTATAAAGAAGAAGATCTGTGACTCTATAAGGTAAGATTCAAAGACACAAAGTATGTCGTTATGCAAGGAAAATGATGTAGCCCCCTTTTTGACTAGGGTTGGGTATCATTTGAATTTTAACAAATCTGATTCCGATTATGATTCTTATCTATTCCTAATTTTGATTTCAATGAGGTAAAAAAAAAAAAAACTATCATTCACATTTATTCTGAGTCTTATTGCAAAACAGCATGAACAAAAATCAACAGGCTAAAAGACACCTATACAAGAAACTTCTGCCTATGGTTTAAAAATACTATAGCAAAAACAACTACCCTAACTAATATCAATTTCAAGCATTATTAAAGACAAGTAAACACTCGGTGATTAAAAAAAGAACAAATAAACAAATTAGCAATTGCACAAATAGATGCAACTGAAAGATATGATTGAAATTAACAGTGTTATAAGATTTTCAGGTATTCAGGTATACAGAAACTGTAATCAAATGTAAAATAACACTGCACTTTATAAATAAAATACAAATTACAAATATAGAAAGTTATTCAGTCAAAAACAGCGAGGGAATTTTCTCTTTGTCTTTTGTTGTTTGATGTGATAGAAACGGCAGCAGGAATATTAGGCTGCTGTCACTTTAAGAGCTGCACGGATCCAATATACAGTTACAAATGCGTTTTCTTTTTCAACTATTTAGGGTCACTTAAGATATAGTAACCGACTGTGTTTTTACGAGGACGTTTGACATTTTTGTGTGTATTTGTCCGTTCAAGTGCAAAAAGACGTGGAAGAGAATTATCAGTATCACGCAGTATGAGAGGTGGCTTTCTGTGCGCACGATTTGGATGTGTACGCAGAACAGAAAACAGCGTGTGGGTCTTCTTGCGCTTGAATGGTTTAAAATCACATTCAAATCACTTTTCTGCATGGGAGCATGTTTTGAATGTGTGCGCACTGCGCAGCACAGAAAACAGCTTGCGGGTCTTCTTTCACTTTAATGGTTTAAAGTCATGTTAAAATGTATAATCAATAAGAAGAATTGAAATGCGCGCATCTTAGCGAATCTCCGGTTTTTAGAACCGGTTCTAAAATGGAACCGGTTCTCGATACCCAACCCTATTTATGACTGATATGTGACGTGATACATTTGCACTTAAGATTTAATTCAAAATTTTTTTCATCAATCACTTTGTTTTAAGAATGTAAATTTATCTATCTATCTATCTATCTATCTATCTATCTATCTATCTATCTATCTATCTATCTATCTATCTATCTATCTATCTATCTATCTATCTATCTATCTATCTATCTATCTGTCTGTCTGTCTGTCTGTCTGTCAATCTGTCTTTAATGAAATCGTTAATACATTGGATATTGTCGCTATTAGCCAATAACGCCAAGGAAGATTTAGAGTTAAACTATGAACAACACATTCTATAAAACTCTTATGCTTTTACTGTCTGCAAGGTGCTTTGTAGGACAGTGGAAGATTTGGATTCTAACGTGGATACCAGTTCTGTCCTGGATCCCCCAGTATTCCGTTCAGGAAAATGGACTTGGTGACCTGGTTTCAGGTGTCAGTGTGGGAATCATGCATCTGCCTCAGGGTCAGTTTACAAGTTCAAGTTCCAAAGCAAAACTACACACTGGATACAAATTCTCAAAATGTTCCTTGAAGAATGAAAAAATAAAAACCTGACAAAACCCCATTGCTGGGATGTCCCCAAGAAAGTTGATAATCGTGATAAATAATGTTTTAATTAAAATATAACAGCCAAACTCCAAGGGAAGTCTCTAAAGAGATACATTATAGAGTGGGTATAAAAAGTATACACACGCCCCTGTTAAAACAGCTGTTTTTTGTGTTGGAAAAAAATGAAGCAAAGATAAATCATGTCAGAACTTTTGCACGTTTAATGAAAAAAATTGCTACCTTTAGTGACACAATTTTAAGAGCATATATATATATATATTCCTGGAATAACTGCACACAGCACTTAGTCTGTTTGGACATCTTGACTTGGGAATATTTTCCCACTTTTCTTTGCAAAAACACTCTAGTCTGGTAAATTGCAATGACTTTTTATATCCACTATAAGCTTGTTGATTGATACTCAGGTATGGCATACGCTCTTTTGGCTTCTGTCCCACCTGTGTTTGGTCTCTACACCTCCTTCTATCCTGTACTGGTGTACTTCATCTTTGGCACCTCTAAACACGTCTCCATAGGTGAGGGGAAGAGAAAGAATGTAGGTAATGTGAAATGTTATTTTGTATTTTATACAAAATACATTTAGAACATCTACTTTTACCAGCATTATCACACATTGTGATGACGCGCGAAATTCAGATGGAGGGCAGGGAGTGAAGAGCGCAATGGACGAGATGGAGGAAAGTCCGTACTGTACTACTTTACACGCTATTACAAGAGAAAGATATAAACAAAAAATCAAAATGTTGTACGTGATCCTTACGTTATGAAGAGGAGCGATTTTTCAACTGAATTTAAAGATTTTCCTGCCATCGAGGCGGTAGATATCAGCAACTACCTCGGATTACAGACATACTTTGACTTTACAAAGTTCAGAAACGTTACACGTTACACAAACATAGCCACTTAAGTTGTATACTCACCTTTGACGAAGTGATCACTGCACACACGGACATTTTCCCATTCGGCCCACCCGACCGCAGACGTACGTAGGTTTTCCTACGTAGCCGTTTTTCGGTCGATTTCTTGCATTTTCCCCCCTTATGAACAACAACTTTTGGTACACGATAAAAACTCATCGTGGTTTGATCGATTTAAGTAACCATAAACGACGCAAATTTGAGTTTGTTATAGTGCTTTCTAAATACAGCTAATCACTTCCTGCCCTCCATTTGCATTTCGCGCCATGGCAACCCAGTGGCGTGAGGTCATATGAAAACAAGCCATAGATACATAGACTATGATAATAATTTCTTTATAAAAAACACCCAATTTGCGCGTTTTCAATGCCTTTTAGGAACCTTTGCGGTGATTAGCATAATGATCGGGAGCGTCTCAGAGCGATTGGCTCCTGAGGATCACTTTCTGACCAATGGGACAAATGGATCAGTCGTCATGGATACGGAGGCGCGAGACGTGCAACGGGTGAAAGTAGCCGCAGCAACGACGTTACTGTGCGGCATATTTCAAGTGAGTCTAGCTCTAGCTTAAACAAGAATATGAAAACAAACATGAAAATACATAAGAATGAGAGAATGAGCAAAGTAACCAAACAATGAATACATGTGTGGGGGAAAACGCTTGAAGGAATGTGAAAAACAATCAAATGAATTCAAATAAGAAAATAAGAATGAACAAACGAACAAACCAAGGATTAATGTAGAAAAACAAAACAAAACATTTTGAAACCAATGCAGTCCTCTATGTAATTCCAATCATTGTGTGTTGTGTCTTTTTCTGTAGGTTTTATTGGGTCTGGTTCGGTTCGGGTTTGTAGTGACGTATCTCTCCGAGCCGTTAGTGCGGGGCTACACGACAGGCGCGGCCACCCACGTCATCATTTCTCAACTCAAATTCATGTTAGGAGTTTCGCCCAGACGATTCACTGGACCCCTGCAGCTGCTTTATGTGAGTATTTCAGTATATCTTGAAACTAACAACGTAAATTAAAAATAGCACGTGTTAATGCTGACTATTCACTTATTTAAATAAAATAAATGTAGTACATAATGAAAGTTTTTCATTTACATTATGTAAATGAACATTATGCAACTTTATGTTGCGTTGCATGTTTTGGTTAGTAGCCTAGTGAGGCTATCCTTCCTGTTCCTGTATTCTCCTGAGTATCAGTTTATTAAAATACGATATATTGAATTCTCCGTTGTAGAGTTTACTGACCAACAGTAAGTAACTGAATGCGGCGGGAATAATATATTAATTATATCCCAGACAGCAACATAGTGTTGGCCCAGATCTGGCCCATCTGGTACACTTGGATTCCATATGTACCAGATGTGGGCCGGATCAAGGCCGACACTGTGTTGCTGAATGGGAGAAAGTGCAATGCACAATATGGCGGAATAAGTCCCGCCTTCTGAATAAAAGAGCCACTCACCTATTATCATAGCCAATACTAATAACATAGCATTTCAGTATTTTAAAACATAACGCTTTTAATGAGTTTAAAGGTACGGTATGTAATTTTGGAGAGGCTAGCAATAGCATGCTAGCATTGAAATCATAAGATCCCACCCTCTTTTAGAGCGTCTCTAAAGCCATGCCTCCTCCAAAACACATGAACACACACAGCCAGAGGAGAGTCTGAAAAGCATTAAATTACATCATGTCTCAAAGCTCATAACTTACAATACAAGTAACGTAAACAATTTACAGAGCTCTTACTTGTTCAACCTGTCTGCTGCAGATTCATTTCTCCATTGATAGTGTTGACATAGAAACACATAAATCGTGAAACGTCAAGGGTTGCCGTCTCTTAATCACGGTAATTATGGTGTGAACGCAGCATAAACTCGTTGTTTGTGGTCCAGGAGGAACTGTAGAAGGTGCTGCTGTTTGTTTTTGCCGTCTGGTGACTGTGTCTACAACTCTGCATAGCCTCTGATAAAGTGTGATGTTTGTGCGAGCAGGTGCGCAGAGGTATTGAAATACATATGTTGACAACTAGGTAGGACATCCTATCATTAGATTCAGACCGAATGCAATGATTGGACGAACATCTTTTTGACCCTGATACATCCACAGAAGACATAGGCCTATGTACATTTTTTTTCCACTTCTATTATTGACTGCTATCAGGATGTGAAGAGAGTTTCAAACAGTATTAAAAAAAATGTTTATGAAAAACATTGCCTACCCATCCTTTAAGATGATGTAAATACTTTATGCGAGAAAATGCAATAGTTGTATCCCGTTCACTGATCTGTGTTAAAGATAATAATAATAATAATAAATTTTATTTGTCATGCGCCTTTCTCAGACTCAAAGCGCTACAGTACAGAACAAAACAATCAAACATGAGGATAAAATAAATAAAGAAATATAAAAAGAAGTACAACAAAATAATACAATTATAAATTGAAAGCTTGACTAAAAAAATATGTCTAAAGAAGTTTCTTAAAACAATCCAGAGAATCAGCATCCCTAATAGTTGTAGGTAATGTGTTCCATAATTTTGCATAAAGATATAGAGTTGTGTGACACTTCCTCGGGGTTTAATGCTGGGATTGGTTACCAATCCTCAAAACACAAAAAGTGCATTCACATAAATTGGAGTGAGGATTTTAACATTTATAATTAATTAATCTTTTCCCAAACTCACCATTTTATTTCACAGCGCCTCCACAAATGAATGATAATAAATGTCTACCCCCATAAATTAAAATTTCAGACATATTTTAAAAACACATTTATTTTAAGGTGACGTAGTTACATTGTACTTAAATAAGTAGTAAGTAATATTAATTAACTACATGTTCTTAGGGTTTAGCTTAGGTTTAGATACTTGTAATTATGCATAACTTACTGTTATTACTATAGTAAGCACATTAATTTCTCTCTCTCTCTTTAGACTCTGGTGGAGCTGGGCAGTTTATTACTGCAGACTCATATTCCCACTCTGGTGATCAGTCTGGTGGCTCTCACAGCTCTGGTCATTGTAAAAGAGATCAACTCCTGCTACCGTCACAAATTATTCCTCCCTGTTCCCATCGAGCTCATGCTGGTGAGGACATGGTGTGTTTCTGTAAACTCCAGTAGTATTCAAAACGTCAGATGCTCAGTAAACAACTTTGGATGTATCTTTCCAGATTATTGCAGGGACTCTTGTTTCTCATTATACTGATCTGAAAGCTGGTAATGGTGTAGATGTGGTGGGAAAAATTCCCAGTGGGTAAGTGTGTGCTTCACATCACATACAGTACATAGGGGTAGATTTTGAGTGTTAAACTGTTTCTTTTGAAACACCAATCCTCATGCAGAAGGTTAGAAAGTTTTCTTGGTGACTCAATTCTTGGTCTTAATCTCTGTTGACTGACTTTGTTAAACCCATCAAAACAGTCAGAAAAGCACTAATCCCAAGCCAAATGAAATTCCTTCACTTACACCCTCACGTGTGAGATTTACTGGACCTTTGTGAGTACTTCCTTCCAATGTGAGTATCGAATATGATCCATCAGGATTTTGAGGAACGTTTATTTGTTCATCTCTCGATCATCATTGTATTGCATTGCATTATATTTTTTGCCCCCACTATGAAAACTACAGACCTTTGGTCATAAAACTAAGCATTTAAATATCATCTTAAGACATTATGGGAGATATAGAGTGATAAATGATATTTATATGCATTTTATGTAAGTATCTGCTATACTGCTATAAAGATCTAATTGATTTACATTACAAGCTATCAGAATTTCTTCTAACTTTTTTGGCCATATATCAGTAACTGCATTAAATTGCACATTTTTTGCTCAGTTTTGGTCTCTGAAAAAATAATGAGCTTCATATTTTCCTGTATCATATGAGCCATAAAAGCCTGATGTATCAAATATGATACTCAACAAAAAACATGCAACTATATTGTATAAAGGTTCAATAAACTGTTCCAATTTTGTATTAATATAGATTTTTCAGACTATTATTATATTATTTCACACGTCTGGCTTTACAGGGTTAAGCATATAAAAGACACACACAAAGGTTGGTTGGGAGAAATGAACTTTGCCCCATGCACCTAAAAGCCAAAGCTGTGTTAGTGATCTGTAACCTCTGACCTCTCCACAGGCTGGTGCCACCCAGAGTCCCAGAGGTGGGTTTCTTCTCCTCGGTGGTAGGAGACGCGTTTACCGTGGCTGTGGTGGGATACGCCATCAGCATTTCTCTGGGCAAGACTTTTGCTCTCAAATATGGATATAAAGTAGACAGCAATCAGGTACAACAAATTTCACCCAAATCCGACACGGGCCAACCAACCCATGTGGCACATATGCCTTCAGTACACTTGTTCACATAGATATATCATGCTTTGAAAATGTATGCGCATTGTGCAGAGGTGAGAGTCTGTCATTGTCCCTCTGCAGGAGTTGTTGGCGTTGGGGTTCAGTAATGTCATTGGTGGCTTCTTCCAGTGCTACTCTGTCACTTCCTCACTATCTCGCAGTCTTGTCCAGGAGAGCACAGGGGGGAAAACACAGGTGATATTCCACTTGAGAAAAACAAACAGTACCGCTCAAAAGAAGAAAAAGTGACCCGAAAGTAACAGTAAAGACATTTAAAATGTTAGAAAAAAACTTCTATTTCAACTAAATGCAGTTCTTTTGAACTGAAAAAGAATGTATTATAGTTTCCACAAAAATATGAAGCAGCATTGTTTTCAAAATTGATAATAATAATAGTTTCTTGAGCAGCAAATCATCATATTAGAATGATTTCTGAAGGATAATGTGACACTGAAGACTGGAGTAATGATGCTGAAAATTCAGCTTTGATTACAGGAATAAATTACATTTTAAAATATATTACAATAGAAAACTGCTCTTATAAATTGTAATAATATTTAAAAATACTGTTTTTACTGTATTTTTGATTAAATAAATGCAGCCTTGGTGAGCATATGAGACTACTTTCAAAAACATTTGAAAATCATCCCGACCCCAAAATATATAAAACATATGCTGTCTATTATGCTCAACTACAGATATACTTTTGTGTCATGTAGGTGGCTGGAGTGATATCTGCTGTTATTGTGCTCATTACAGTTTTAAAGCTCGGTTCACTTTTTGAGGAGCTGCCCACAGTAAGTCATGCACTCAATTTAACACTAGACAAAATATAAATTTGTGATATAGAATTACATTATGTAATTAAAATACTTGTAATTGATAAAACTCTGTAATTCAGGACCTCTCTCCAAACATTGGCATTCATTGGTGGCTCTTGTGTCCAGTGTTGTTGTTGTTAACTAAAACTAAAATTATTACAAAATAATTTCCATTTTTTTTAATGCCAATTAAAAAATACTTCTGGAGCCAATGAAAGCGGTTTAGAAATATTTATTATTTTATTGATATATTTATATTTACATAATTTTAAATACGCCTATTTATGATTGATTTAGGCTATTTTTTTCAGATTAGTACATTAAAAATGTATTCCTTAATTTTTGAAGCGGCACTCCTAATCCTCCATTTGGACATCAGAGCAATTTTTAAGTTGTTGTTTGTGTCTGTCATCAGGCTGTGCTTTCCACCATCGTGTTTGTGAATCTGAAGGGAATGTTCATGCAGTGTCAGGATATTCCTGCTCTATGGAAGAGCAACAGAGTAGATCTGGTGAGATCTGATCATTAAAGACTAATAAATGTATGTCTCCTGTGTGTATGATACTGTGTCCCGACCCTCTCTAGGGCTCTTCACACACCGCGCTTAACCCCGGGTTATCATCGTTCTAAACACTGCTTTGTAACCCCGGTACCAAATGTATACAGTGTGAAACGATGAGGTGTTAGATTGTTATGACTAGATGCTTAGCAATGGACAACCAATTACATGCCACATATTCAAATTGGACAGTCACAGAAACACAGCATGTTGTATAAACAGTAGGCTATGTTCCAATGTTTTGAGGGTAAAAATGTCAAATGGTAACAGAAAATGTGACAATTGGAGTGAAGAAGAGACCGTTTCATTCTTACCTTTATAGTTGAAAAATCCATTTAGTATAAACTTGATAGTAGGCTATGGCAATATATAATACGAGGATGCGCAATTCTAGAGCCTTTATGTAAATAGGTTGCATGCCGCATTCGTCCAATCAGTGACACTGACTCCACAAATATACAAATAAGGACATTAACCCAGGGTTTAAAGGGGTAGTTCACCCAAAAAATGAAAATTATGTCATTAATGACTCACCCTCATGTCGTTCCAAGCCCGTAAGACCTCCGTTCATCTTCGGAACACAGTTTAAGATATTTTAGATTTAGTCCGAGAGCTTTCTGTCCTCCATTGAAAATGTATGTACGTCCTTGTCCAGAAAGGAAATAAAGACATCATCAAAGTAGTCCATGTGACATCAGTGGGTTAGTTAGAATGTTTTGAAGCATCGAAAATACATTTTGGTCCAAAAATAACAAAACCTACGACTTTATTCAGCATTGTATTGTCTTCCGGTTCTGTTATCGAATCGCGTTCAGTGCCGCTGCTGACGTAAGACGCTGCTGACGTGTATCTGGTGCGCCCGAGCTTCGTTTACAGTCTGAGGGAGACGCACGCTGTAAACAAAACAATCTTCGCAAACATGTCTAAGGATTTCGACACAGAGGAAGACTTGCATTCTTTTGCCCAGACATATATTTTTGAACCCGAATACACGGACGCACCAGACACACGTCATCAGCGTCACTGAACGCATATTAACAACAGAACCGGAAGAGAATACAACTCTCGGACTAAATCTAAAATATCTTAAACTGTGTTCCGAAGATGAACGGAGGTCTTAACGGGCTTGGAACGACATGAGGGTGAGTTATTAATGACATAATTTTCATTTTTGGGTGAACTACCCCTTTAAGAGTGTACAATGAAATGTCTGCTTATGAATACCCAGGATTAATTGTTAACCACGGGTAAATTATGAGCAGTGTGAAATGGGAAGCCAAATAACCCAGGGTTAGCTAGTGTGTGAAAAGCTCTGTCTGTTCCTCTAGCTGGTGTGGCTGGTCACGTTTCTCTGTACGGTTCTGCTGAATCTGGATCTGGGTCTGGCAGCGTCCATCATATTCACACTGCTCACAGTGATCTTCAGGACTCAGCGGTGAGCCTGTGTGAAAGTGTATTTGTGTGTCTATAAAGATAAAGGCTATGTGTTTCATAACCATCCTAATGTCTTTGTCTAGTCCGAGGTACTCTTTACTTGGCAGGGTGCCTGACACAGAACTGTACTTGGAAACAGAGTCAAATAAGGAGGTGAGACTTCCTTGCAGGCAAACTGCTCATTTATGTGTACTGTTTATGGAACTTCTATAATCTATATTTGTGATTCTGGTCAGGCTAAAGCAATCCCAGGTATCACTATCTTCCGTTCCTCTGCAATGCTCTACTATGCAAATGCTGAACTCTATCAAGAGGCCCTGTTGGAGAAGGTAATGAACAGATGAATTACACACTTGACTAAAGACATGAGCCGTCAACAGCTTTCAGCTCATCTTTCTTTCTTTCTAGTGTGGAATCAATGTTCCAGAGCTGAAAAAGAGGAAAGAGGAGGAGAGGGCAAAAAAGAGACAACAGAAGGGAAAAGATAAACAGGTGAGAGAGGAATGCTGTAATGAGGAATTCTGGAAACTCTTCTGAAAGCCTGAGAACATGAGAGTTTCTGTCCAAATACCACAGCTTAAAGACAATCACATACACACATTCATCATTATTACACTAACCCTACCCCTGAAAGAAACTTTGTGTATGTTTGACTTTTTTTTTTTATATATATATATATATATATATTTGTGAATCATTTTCCAACAACCCCTTACAGAAAATAAGTATAGCTTACATCAAGTTTATTAAGTATACTTAAATAAATAGTTCACCCAAAAAATTCAAATTATCCCACAATTTACTCACCCTCAAGCCATCATCCAAGGTGTATATAACTTTCTTCTTTTAAGCGAACACAATCGGAGTTATATTAAACAATATCCTGGCTCTTCCCTGCTTTGTAATGGCATTGAATAGAGCCTGAGATTTTGACGCTCCAAAAAGCACATCTATCCATCAAAAAAGATCATTTGAACAGATCCATTATACTCTTACACATGCTTTCTTTTCTTTTAAAACATAACTGACTATGTTTACGTGAATACTCGCCAAGACCGGCATTTTGACCGACAACACTTTTGACAATGTAAAATATATATGTAAATATATATATAATATAAAAAAATACATAAATATATATTTTATATGTAAAATTCAACCCGCCAAGGTGGCTACTAGAAGTGCCTGAGTAATCACTGGCTTCAGACAAAGGCTGTACGTGCGGTAACAAGAGAGTCGAGTTCTGGCGGAAGGGTGACCTTTGACCTGACGTATGACGTAAGAAGTAGCTCCTTTCTCTTATATGGAAATCCTTCAACATTTTTCTTTCAAACATCTTGCTTTAGACTTCTAAATCGCCAAACGGCGTTTTGTTTTGCTCTATTGTCACGGTAATTCTCACCTAAGCTTACACTACACCTACGTCATTCGCCCTACGCCATACGTCCCCCACACACTCTTGCATACCTCTCTACAGAAACCTTTTTAAAGTTTTAGTTCTTTAAGATGTGAGCATGTGAAACAGTTTCTTAAGCGGTTATGTTTCTTGTTTATAGACTGGAGTTCTGAGAGAGTTAGCGAACCGAATGCTGGTCTCCATGAAGAATGTGAGTGAATCTGTGCACTGCCAAAGAACGGACCATGAACACATCATCAATGACAACGGCATAGCGACAGTAGGCCACGGTAACACGAACCACGGCTTCCAGCCAGAGCAGGACTCTGAGGAGGAGGAGGAACGGGACAACACAGAGACACACTCCTCCAGCTGTGACAATGTGCAGGAACACACACACTCCATCATCCTGGACTTCACTCCTGTCAGCTTCATCGACACGGTGACCCTGAAAACACTGGAAAACGTAGGTCAAAACAAGTCACATTTATTTATAGGCCTATATACCTACAAAAAAGATTGTTTCAAAAGCAGCGTCACATTGATAAAGACGACAAAAACAGTGTTAATGTTGTACAATAAATGTTTCAGCTGTTAAGCAGCTCTACATAAGATGATAGTAAGAGAGATAGAAAGAGAAATGAATCGATGCTTGTTTCCACTATGGAATAATAATAAAAAAAAAAAAGTAAATTCGAATTTATGTTTTGCAATTCTGACTTGTTTTCTCAGAAAGAATTGAGAGGGAAAAAAAGTCAGAATTGTGTAATACAACTTTTTTTCTAATGTACAACTCTAGCAAACGCTCATTCTCCCTCCGTCGGCCATCTTTGTTTGGAGAAATAAATCCACTTACAACGGTTTGCCACTAGGTGGCAGTGTGTAGGATGAGGCACTAGTGTCCACTGTAGAAGTTGATGTGCAACTATGCCATCAAAAACCATGCATTTGCAAGAAAATGTTTTTTTGAATAGCTGTCTACTCACTGTAGTGACCTCTATGAGTGAAAGGGTTAAAGTAAAAGTAAAGATTGTGAGATATAATCTTGTAAGGGGGAAAAAAGTCTGAATTGTGTCACATTACCTTTTTAATTCCATGGCAGAAGCAAGTTTCCATAGTAATGAATTGAGAGAGAGAAAAAAATCATGCTGAAAAGAAAGAAATGGTAATCTTTCTTCTAGATATTTCAAAACTTTGCTGAAGTAGATGTCACTGTTTACATCGCTGGATGTCAAGGTGGGTAAAATCTGATACACCCTTAATTAAAATACAAACATTCACATGCTAAATCAGAAATCTAAATAAATAACATTACTAGAATGTGTATAATTCATATATTCAGCCGCCAACAACTGCCCCTTTTTTTGTGGCTGCAGTGTGCGTAGTGCAGCAGTTGGAGCGAGGAGGATTCTTCTCAGAGTCCGTCTCAAAAGGGCGACTTTTCCCATCTATCCATGATGCTGTGCTGCACTGCCTGTGTCTGAGAGATCTGTCCTGCTCTGAGCTTGCTCTGGTGAGACTGTGATCACACTGAGCAGTTCATTAACATGTCTCCTGTCACATTCATCTGAACTGTTGCTCTGTCCCAGGAAATGCCCTGCGTTACGAGGTTCTGACCAGCAGATGTCAGTATGTCCTCCTCTTTGACTGATGTGCCTATGTGAAGACCCCTTGTTACCATGACGACCGGCATCAGGATGATATAAGTCAATGGATATTGACATCCCACAATGAAAACATCTAGTCATTTTGAGATATATGTGTGTAGGGCTGCAAACTATCACGCATTCAGTGCATTCACACCACACAAAACATCGCGGAGCAGAGAGGACACTGACAACACGCCGACAGACAAGACAGATCAGGTTACTTTTGATATGAAACAAAGTATTAGCTTTCAAATTCTGTCAAATTTGTTACGAAATTCAAACAATAAATACCGCTTTGGCGCTCTTTAATGTGGCGTGACAGATCGCTGTAGTGTCTTGGTTCAGGCGGCAATTGAACCGATCTTCTCTTCCTCTTAGTCTTAACTACTAGTTACAGCACCAAATAAACATGAATGAACATCAGAAGGTATGTTGAAAGATACAGAACAACTTACTGAAGGGTATCATGTCTCATGTAATCGCTCAATCAGCGTTTCTACTGCGGAAAGAGGTCAGTAAATCAGCTTGTAAACAATGTACACTTAACGTTATATTTACCTCTGGAAATTCTAAGACCATAGCTTGTTAGTTAGCAAGAAAAATGTACTCTAAAGAAGAGCATTTTGCTAAATATATGCACTATGGGCATATTACATATTCATTATAATAGTGTTTATATAATAGTGTTAATAATGATTATATTAACTCTTATATGATTAAAAATATTTTAACGTTATTATTATGAAAAAACGTATAATTGTAAATTAATTGTATACAAATCACTTGTTAAATTTAAACTTTAATATGATAGTAATGTAATGCTGACAGGGTTCTCTGTATAGTTTAACATTTAGAGCATTTATTTCTTCCAGTGGTGGGCCGTCAGGGCCAGCAAGGCCTTCTCTGCTGGCCTAAACACTATCAGAATCACTGACTTGCACTTTAATATATTTTTTCCATGAATGAGTATTAAATTATTCCCAATAGTTCATTCTCTTAATTTTATAGCTTTTCTCTTGGTTGCGCTGCTTCCAGTAGTGTATGTTTATTTTAGCGCTTTTATCCAATCATATTTCAGCCATCATGCGTTGCCAGGGTCAAAGAAATCTGCCTTCAGGCCTTCAGAATCGACAGTGCGGGCGCCTGTAGCTTACAATGAATGGCAATGAAACCGTTGCTTTAACCAATCATAAGCAGTCAGATTTAATCAGCCAATCAGATTTCGATTTGACTGCAGCGGGGCCATAGCAGGCATACAATAACGTCGGCATTTTCACGTTCTTTGATTGGATGCTTAGAGCGCGTACTATTACTGGTAGTCTGCTTTCCGCATCTGTAGCGAACTGCAAACTAAAATATATTCCTGTAGATTTAATAGTTTTTCAACCCACAAATTAATGTTTCTTTCCCTCCTCGACCCCCAGCAGGTTCCAACCTACCTGAAAAAATCCCTTATTCAGCCTGAGCTTAACGCAGAGTCACGGAACACTGCTCGATCTGTCCGGGTAAAAACTGACTAAGTTATGCCACGAATGATTTTGAAGGCAAAAGTCCCGCTGATCTCATTGCTTTCGTTCAAAACTCTGTGTGAGAGAATGGGACAGCTGTAACGTTACACATCGGCAGGTTATGCGGTGACTGTGTCCACTGCTTCTGTCGAGCAGACACTCTCTAAAGCGAATTAAAACTTGTGCTAGAAATATGACGGGACTCGACTTACAGCATTAGACTCGTCATTGTTGGAACTGAAACGCACAGATAACCTGTACAACAGAGTAATTTAAGTCTTCTTGAGGAAAGAAATAAGGATGGATTTTGTGTAAAAAATAATCAGTAGTTTTGGTGAGTATAATGCTTTTTTCCCCGTGGTGAATATGATTTTCTTCTTAATTTTTCTTTTAAATGTATGATCGAAACGTATTTTTTTTTTTTCAAACATCCATACTATTGTAACTTCTGAAAAAGGACTATTGTAACCATTGAACGACAAGATAAGGGAGGCTCCGTTATGAACTTATAATCGGAACGCAAGAACAACTGTACACAAACGCACCAGCCGAACTCACGCGCTCGTTTATCTCTAACCAAACTCACCGCATTAACCCAATAACTGCCGGTGCAAAATAAAAACAACAATTATAGAGAGTCTTTGCGCTGCTACACTATTAAAAGTTATTAATTCAGGTAGGACAGAAGGCCTAGGTGTGAAATGCACGGCCCGCCACTGATTTCTTCCAAATAAAAAATATTTCCATTACCCTTCAAATTGCGCAAATTGAAAGTGAAAATATTGAATATTTCGCAAAACTGCAATGGAAACAGTTTCTTCGCACTCACAACAGGTCACCTGATGTACGTAAAAGTCACATGATCATTCTTTAAAGATGACACGTATGTTTGAACAGAAGACGAGTTTTGGAGTTAAACTCATAAAAGACAAACGTATCACATAAATACTGGATTCTAAACAGCAAAGAAATGCCACATTTTATCAAGACCTTGAAGCAGATATGAGGAAGAAACACCTCATACTCAAGTAGCCTATAAGGGCTTTCCTTGCCATTATGCCATTACATCTCCTTCCATAATGTCTAGTCCGGTGGCTGAGATATAGCCTACGTAAACCTACCAACATCCGTTGGCATGATTTTTGGAATGACTTCTCGTGAGAGGAAAAAATTACATTTGAGTTGCATAACATCGGTTAACGGAAATGCCGTCAGTTCGCAATAGTTTTTTATCGACGTTTAGAAAATATCGCAAAAGTTTTGCGCAAACCTGCAATGCAAACGCGGCTAGTGGAAGTGTAAAAAAGGCCCCCTTGTGGAATCTAAGCGTCAGATTCACCTCGCTTCACCTGGACTCTTATGGTGTGTTCACACCGAACGCGAATAGAGCGTCAAATACGCGTCTATCGCGTTTAGTTAGACGCTTGAACATTCGCTCGAGTTCAAATTTTTCAACTTGCGCGGAAGACATTCGCGGCAAACGCGTCGCCCAATTCGCGTCATTCGCAACGCCCGGCGCGAATGATGCGTCTATTCGCGTCTTTGCATTGACTTTGTATGTAATCTACTCGCGCAAATAATTAAATTCGCGTTCGGTGTGAACACACCATTAGCCAATCACAAGTTGATTCAGGATCGCTACGCGCGAGTATTATTCTGTCAGAGGTTTTGACAGTAGTGTACGCGAACCGCACGGACTTACAACCCGCCTTGATTCAACTGCTTTAATTCTGTGTGCGTCTTTACAAGTAAGAATCTGTATTTTGTTGATCTTTTACTGGCATTGCAAAGGCTAGATTGGTAGTGTTTCGTCTGTTTAGTATTGCTAAATGTAAGCTCAGGCTTTCCTGCTCAGCTAGTCTTCGTGTCGTGATGATTCTTTCTATTGATGTATAAGTTGCCACTCGGGCATTATTCTTTGGTTATACATTGTGAAATACCAGTTCAACACTTTCTGTGCATAGTTTGTAACCAGTGGCGGCTGCTGGTCTTTTAAAGAGGGGAAACTCATTTTTTTTTAAACTCGACTGTCAGGTGTGGGGATGGTGAAAAGAGCGAGGACTCTGGTGCAGTTGATGGGCTTTATTTTAATAATAAAATAAAAAATACAAACAAAAACTACGAACCAGCACAGGACAAGGAGAATAAATAGGGAGCAAAAAAGGCAGGTAACGAGGGAGGACAGGTGGGGCATAATAACTAATAATCAGGAAACAAGATGGGAGTCGACACAATCGACAGGAGAGCACATGGCACAAGGAAAACACATGACAAGCCATGTGCTGCTCACACCAAACATGACAAAAACACAAACACATGGCCAGTAAAACAAATTACAAGCAATTGTGCTCACACAAAATGAGACATGAAGAACAATGAGAACACTCATAAGCCACGTGTTCCCACAGAACATGACAACATGAAAGCACACAGCTAGTGTAAAACACAAGCTGTGCTACACAGCAAAAGACAAAACATGACATGAAAGCACGCGGCCGATGTAAACACGAACCGCGTGCTACACAAAAAACAACACACTGAACAGAGCTAACACGAAACCGCACGCGAACACGACAAGACAGAACGTTATGCACGAGTCGAGAACGACCATGAGCTCATCCTGTGCACTCACAACAGAAAACAAACACGCAGAGCATGCATGTCCAATTCCCGACACAAAACCGAAACCAAACTAGACAGATGTGCCGGGATCCAAACACCACGCCCGCAAGGCACCTGACATCGACGGAGGAAATATGGGAATTAGGTTAAACTGTGAAATGTATGATGAAAATTGCAAATACCAATAAATATTACAGCAGTTAGTATTTCGAGTACACTTGCTTTCGAGTACATATCCGCCTTGAGACTGAGCTCGAAATCTCGAATAGCTTCTTCTTCTTCTTCTTCTTCTGTGAATTTTATTGGCAGTTTGCAATCTATGTGCATTACCGCCATCTACAGGAATAAGGTGTGATCACATTGGGACATGAAATTACCGCCCCCCCCCCCCCCCCCCAAAAAAACCCCCCCCCCAAAAAACAAACAAACAAAAAACAGAGAATTAGAGCCCAAGCTTCAGCTGGCGCTACGTGTTTAGCTCCTCCAGCTTCAACCTCAACTCAACCTCCATAGAAAAAAAAATAAATAAAAAAAATAATAATAATAAAAAAAAAAAAAAAAATAATAAAAAAAAAAACATAAAACTAAAGTCTTCTTGCTAACTGTGTTTTTTTAAGAAATTCTATCACTGCTTTTATTGTAGAGTGTGTTCCTGGTAACTTCAACAGGTTGCTTAAATTAACAGATTTTGTTACCCTCTTAATTTTTTCTCTCTCTTCAAGGTACTGCCTACATGTCAAAAGTACATGCTTCACAGTTTCAATTTCCATACAATATGGGCACATTCCCGTCTCATGTTTCCCTATTATATATAAGTTGCTGTTCAGGCCTGTGTGTCCTAGCCTTAGCCTAGTAAACCATGTTTCCTCCTGTCGTGATAATGAACTCATTTTTTTAACTGTTACATTTTGTTGAATACTATATAAATGCCTACCTTTTTCCCCCTTATCCCATTTATCTTGCCAGAGTTTATGAATACCATCTTTAATTATTGTTTTAATTTCTGATTTGCTGAGTGGAACCTGTATTTCTACTTGTTCTGCTTTAAGTGCTTCTTTTGCCAGCTCATCTGCCTTCTCAT